TATATCCCTATATATATAAATGCAGAAAAAAAGAGACAGGGACAGAAAATGAGAAAAGAGAAAAATGTTAGGCGGTACAATTCTAAAATACTGTACCTTTAGACTTTCATCATTTACATAGATATCCGTCTTTATCTCTAAATTACGTAGTCTCCATTCATCAATACTGCATGGCACTTTGTCTATTTCTATAAGATTTATTGCTTGGTCTTCCTTTCTCAATTTTAGCAAATCGATAAATTTCGATAATACATTTTTACTTGAAGATGGATGTGTCCAGATAATTAATATATGCTTTTCATCAGTCCTGAAAATATACGATTTAGCGTTCGAATTTCTCCCAAATTCAACATCAAAACAATCTCATTTCAAATTTAACTAATGGAAAAGACAAGTTTAAAAGCATACTAATTAATATTAATTAAATGTTCAGCCGGAAAAAAAAGAACACAAATTTTCCAAAATCCACTATTTTTGTCATATCTCCTAAGTCATAACTTCTTACTCAGCATTTTCAGCCTAATCAGTAAGAAATGAAAAAACTTGTATAGCGATACGGTCAGGTATCAAGGGAATTTCTATACATGAAGCTATTTATCAACAAAAATATTTAGGCAAATAAAGTTCAGGAATAGATTGTAAAAACTTACCTGTGCTTACTCCATAAAAATCTAGCAGGTGCAATGAAACCACGCGGATATTTGCCTGGTTCGTATAACATAACTGGCATCTCAAAACGACCATCTAAAGCAGATTTGAATGCAAATGTTGGGCCAACTTCTGGTGCACAAATGTTACGTAACAGCTCAATTATTGCTGTCTGACTATTTCCAATTATCTAAAAAAACCGAAAACAACCACGAAATAATTGCAATTTCATGTGAAACAGAGTTGTAATGAATTTGCTTTTCGCATTATTTCAACTATTGAATCACCAAAGATGTTTTAAACGTCATATCGTTTAATTATCGATTTAATTTAGTCTGTTTAAAACTTGATGACTACTTTACATGGATAATTTCACTTATATCCAAATATTAGTTAGATAAAAACAAGGAAACAAAACCACTGACTGCTTCATCAGCAAATAAAAAGTAAATCTTATTTGATATCAATATGAATCAGCTCAGATTAGCCTAATTTATGCAGCTTTGCCATCAAAAGATTCAATTTTGATCTCTCTTGGTCTTCGTATTTATACCACAATCTTAGAAGCATGTGCTGATTTCCAAAAGAAAAACGATCCAAATTTTGAATTTACCTGAAAACAGTGCAAGAAGCTAACATCTCGAACAACACAATGCCTCATTGCATCACGATGAGATGGTCGAAAAGCCCGTAGATAACTGCAAAACGGTAAATTATAGCCCCATTTTTGGATCATTCGAAAACGTTTTGCATGCCATATATGTGTTTCAAGCCATACATGTTTTCGTTGACGTCTGATATAATTCTAAAATTTACACTTGTAATAAAAATTGGAAGAAACTATGATAATCTAAAAATTTATAAATTGAAACAACTTAGCCCACCGAATGGATGAAAACTCTTTTACACAGGAGACTACGTTATTAATATGTACGTGAATATGCACTGATTCATAAAGATAGGCAGACCTGAGATTATAAGATTTGGGTAAAGGGATTGGGTAAAGTGGAAAACACTTATTGTTCCATTAATGCTATAATGAAACACATATATGGAACAAAAATTATTTGGCCAACTTTCATGACTCGAAAAGATTCAGATTTAAAATGGTAATCAAAAACCTGTATCGTGCCCGTTGAATGACTGTGCCGCACTAGAAGTTTCAAATTTATAATCTCTACTAAGAGATTCTAACCCATATCAATGAGTATATGATCATGAACAAAAATCTAAATTGATGCTCATTATAGCATCATCCATGGAAAATAATTGCTTATTGACAATAGCAAATAAAGCAATGTACGGAATAAATTCACCCAACAATTTATATCCGATACCCCAACCCAATACGTAAGAAAAATTACTAAAAGTAGATTTCTTGGTCGTCTTCTCCAAAAACGGCTAGGTGGTTTTCGACGATGTTTCGAAGCTGAAACTGCTGAAATTGCAAAACGACGTTGCATGCGTGGGAAGCGTTTGATGCTATAAGACATTGCACGACGGCGCATATGGCGCGGCAGACGCTGTACAGCTGTACGTGGTCCTTTGGTCACTTCTCCTGATATCAATACGCGATTATCGATGGCCTGGAAAAAGGACAAAATTGGTTTTCTCTTATCAAACATTCAGAAATAAAAATCAACCTGTCAAATAATTCTTGCAAAGTACTTCTTCATATGCCCAATAACGTCGCTCAGCTTTTTCCACCGATGATTTCAAATAACCAACCTGAATTAACTCAGCAATTTGTCTCACTCGCTCTTTCACAAAGTGTGTCACGTTTATACCACGTGGCCGTGGGTAACGATCATCTTCACTTTCTTCCATTACTGAAACGATATTCAACCCATTCAATCATTTGCTTACCGCTGAATGCGGTCGGCAAAAATTACAACCCTTTTTTTACTGGCAGTTATCAACAACTTGAAAATTCTTGAATAGAAAAAGAGTTTACTATGACAGCTTGAATGATGAACAAGCAACGAAAGAAGTATTGATAATAACTTTGTGATGGAATGTCAACACAGTACAATTATAATTAAAATTTTTTTTTCGGAATACCTAGCAGTTAATTTCACTTTTGACATATATGTAGATATAAACTACGAAAATGTTACATGAAAAAACATATGAAATAAACATAAACTGAAAAAAAAATAAATATACAAATATACCAATTTATAGGACTGCAACAGATCACGATAACTTATCACACAGATAAATGGAAAATATGATTTTGGTCAAATAGACAAGTAGTTATGTCTGATGTGGGAAGTCATATGTGACACACTGTCATATATGCATGTGAATATGAAAAGATGACTACTAAGAAATTAGAAAAAAAAATACTACAAAACTCTGATGCTTCAAAAATTAAGATACTAATTTGAAATTTGAATAAATTCAATAGAAATCAGATCTAATTTGTTTTTTAACATCGCTAATCACCCCATTAATTATCCTCCTCTTTATCCGTACCCGGAGTCTCTTCCTTTTCTTTGCTGATACTCTTGAATGTTTTCCTCGCCAGTAAACGCCCCTGCTTCGATAACTCACGTTGGCTTATCGCCATTTTACGGGTATTCAATCGTCGCCACTGCATGTCTCGCTTTTCTTCGAATAACAACACATCCTAAAACAAAAAAGTCATAAGTCATGTTATTCAGGATTCTGAAATGATTTAATATCTTGACTCCACATTCTATGATATCAATCACGAAAATAGATAGAGGAATTTGAATTTTAAAGTAGTACGTAAAAATTTTTGATATGTATGTAGGTATAAACTATGAAAACGTCATATAAAAAACATATGACTAAATATAAACTGAAAAAATATATAAATATACAAATAAACTAATTTATAGAACTGCAATAGATCTCGGTGACTTTCTACACAGATAAACAGGAAATACGATTTTGGTCAAATAGACAGTTATATGTCATATGGAAAGTGATATGTGACACAGTGTCATATATATATGTGAATATGAAAAAACGATTACTAAGAAATTTAAAAAAAAAAAATACAATAAAATCCTTATGTTTCAAAAATTACGGAATACTAACTTGAAATTCGAATAAATTCAATGGAAATCTAGTTTGTTTCTTACTACATCTCCTCAGGATTTCCTGACCATCAATTTATCAAAACGATACTAACTACCAAAGAGCTATTCTACGCATTAATTAGTTGAGTTATTTGATACGGCTAGCTTCTTCGAGCTTCAGGAAAATTGTCCCATTGCTGTCCTTTAACGGTCTGCTGGAATACTGGCACTTTTGCACGATGAAGATTTCATTAGATCGGACTATTAGGGAATAAATTTTATGAGAAAAAGCAGTTGCACAAAATAATTCAGGAAGGAGTTCATACATATGACGATGGCTCTTCGATAATTTCCTTCACTAGCTTTGTCTGTAAATTGATGTCGTCTTCATATTTCTCCTTAATTACTCGTTTTTTGGTAACCGGATCGATAATATTACCATACTGAAACAACACTCGATCAACAATATGTGTCACTAATTTCGCCGGTCGTTTATCTACATCACATTTTGTGATCAGAATAGTATCACCTAGTCCTGAAAATACTTTATCAATTACTGTTCCATCCCTATTGAAATTTCACCAAAACTAATTCCGACTACGGATAAGTGTTATTAAAGTCGATGTAAGTGATTTCACTGTTTATTGGATCAACTGCATGAGCATTATCTGAGCAAAAGCAGGAATTATGGATACGCACATAAGCAGTGCCTCTCTCAACAGTTCCCAAATCAAACAAATTAGTACAGTTTGATGCACGAAGTTTTAAAGTCAGAATAAATGTTAAATACGATGAAGGCAAAGAACAGGATCAAAATCTAGAACTTTTTTTCAATCTCATAGTCAAAGTACGGAGAATAGATGAAAAAATTTTTTTGCAAGAGCAAATTTAAATTTCCATCAAAACATTCAAAGAAGTTTCATAAAATTTTATCATGGCCAGTAAATTCCACAATCGCAACAAAACTTTTTTTCTATGGTCGCAAATTATGAACAAATTACCTGTTGCATTTTCCGGATCTAATGCCCATAGATCAATAGGCCGTGAGAAATACTTCTTAATATATTCATCAAAATCGTTCAGTCGACATCGAACCTATGAATGACATAGCATTTACATTATTTTTAACAACAGCTAGATAGAGTAATCTTCATTTGACAATACATTACCTAATAATAGGTAATTCAATTCTTAATGAATGGATTAAGGACCAAAATAATTTCCAGAATTAATTTCAAATTGAAAATTCTACTTTACCTGGATACATGGGATTTTATCATTCCCAATATGTGTACGTTTTAATACCTTCCCCAACAACATGTCTAGTGTGTTTTTAGATAATTCGGTTTTGTGCTGAAAATAATGTACTAGTAAAACAGTATCATCAATTCATGACTAAGAGAAAACAACATTTAGTTTCTCGTTTTGAATTAAGATTACAGTGTCGAAATTCCGAAATTTCGGCCTGAAACATGAGATGGAGGCTTGATACTTCTGACAAAATAACATCATTGACGGTAATAATAACGATATATGTAGGATCGCTGGAGAGCAATAAATTTTAAGCCAAAAGTCCAGAATTTAAAACATGAAGAACGTGTTTCATTTTCTCTTTCTCAACCCACTCACCAGTTCCTATAAATTTAATACATTCGTCGAATTCGGAAGTTTTACTAATACGCAATGAACTTTTGAACTATGAAACTGCACACCTTCAAGCAAACTTACGCGGGCGGTTGTATAAAGCATAGGATCCATCTTCAACAACTGCATCTTCAACAAAAGATTCATAACTCATTACCTTATCGTTGCCACACTTCCCTCAAGTCTGAAACACGTCGACTTTAAAAAGCCTCAACATTGAAAATCAGACCAAAAGAGTTCGATTCTTACCTGAATACTAATTCTGCAAACTCCCTTTATCACCATACAATAATAAAACCTAATTCAACGTAAAGGACAAAATTCACACTAATTCACTTTCAAACAAGTCTCAAACATCAGCCGTGACCGCGTACTCCGCGATGTATCATAAGCAAACTCAATCTGTCCATCTTCAAAACTTTCATAATATCAATCGAGGCCTTTTCAGCAATAAGACCCCAGAACCTTATCCCTTACACTGGAACAGGAAGATCAAAACTACTATCAATACGCTAGAAGTAAACAACTGTGAGATTTAAAAACGTTGGCCTTTAGATTTTATTTCGTGACTTTTTAAATTTTTTAATACACGAAAATCTGAAGGAAGCAAAAGAATCCAATTTTCACAGGAATTCAGAAATAACATGATCTCGACCAACAAAAGATTAATGATAGGACTGACTCCAGAACACAATTGAAGGGCTTTTCGGTTTTCGTGAAAACTTTGTCCACATTTTTGGATCCAAAAGTAATACTTCTACATAAATTAATGAGTCCTTCAACATAATCCTACAATATTATCGAAGTGCCAATCCTATAAACCACATAAATAACAGTTCTCTTACTTTTTAAAAAGCATAGAAAGCAAACGCGAACAAACCAATATCAATATTCAAGCGTTTTACACAAATATATATCTACGTTAATTATAATTTTCTTTTTTCTTCTTTTTTGCATGTTTCATAAATCTCATGAAGAGGAAACTTCCCTTCACCCATTTAAATTTATATTTACACTTTCGCTGTCTTTTGTCCATTGATTACTTTTTATCAGTAATAATTCACGAAATTCTGGTCGCTATAAAACTTCTTTAAATATATATGTATATACCCGAATTATGTTTAAACCACTGCAGATTAATGATAATTTAAGATTATATCTAAATATTAATGATAATTTAAGATTATATCCAAAGTCCGTAATAATGATAGTAGTGGTCCGATGAAAAAATATACAAGAACTAAATTTGAAAACACTAAACATAGTTTTCGACTACACAAAAACACGCAAATGAAAAGATAGATGAAAAAGAAGCACGCCAATGGTAATGAGGTTCTTAAAAAAGCTAATGAAAAAGGAGAAAGGAGTGACTTAAAAGAGAAGAGACACATTATGGAGTATCATATATAAAAGAATGTAACATTCATCGGTAAAAGGAAAAATTAGGGAATTTATAGATATACCGAGCAAAAACATTTTCTGGCCAAAAAGAATATGCTAAAGAGTATAAAAATTTCAGTTAAGAGCTTTTTTAACCAATAGCCTTACCATTCCTCCTCTTCCATCCTTATCAGTTTATGTTTCTGATTTTCTCCTTTATTAGAAATTCAAATGCTTTTCAGTAGCTATTTACAAATAATTTGGTGATTTTGGTCCATCTAGGAGTGATTTCAAGAATCAACTGCGGATGAAAGAAATGATTAAATGCGAAACTGAAAAAATTGCAAATATTCTGGTGCAGAATTGGAATATAAAAAAAGGAAATATGGCACAGTCTTCTACTACAAATCACACTAATTTCTTCTACTACAAATCGCACTAATTTCTTAATTATTTCTGACATATCCCTGAACTTTATATAAAAAAAATTCTGCTATAAAAAATGAGAGTAGCATAAATCCTTTAATAAATTACAGCTTGAACAGATCATACAAAGGAGATATGCAATAGAAAGCGAAGCGCCTGCTCACGATGTCACAAGGAATGAAAAAGTAAATTAAAGTAACTGTTTCTTTTAGGCTTTCGTAAATCCTTCTATTTCAACGACACTCCCATACTTTAATCGTCATATCCACACTAGATGTCACAACGTAAGGTAGAGATGAGTGGAAATCTGAAACAAGAATTTTTCCATTGATATATTCTAGATGCTTGTTATTTATTATCAACTTTAAATCTTTGTTAATTCTGAGACATAACAGAAGGATAACATGAAACAAGAGTAGCACAATTTAAATGAAGAATTTCATCCAACATATGCCGGGAAATCTGGGAAAACTATATTGCAAGAGTAAATCGAAAGAACAATTAGCTCAGTTGGCGAGATGAACCATTCTTTGAATTCGTAAAACAAACTCTTAGAATTTCAAAAAATTCTTCATCATATAAAATGTAAGTGATACGAACCAAGTGAACTGACGAAGTGTTTGTGAGCATCCAATGTTTTGGCACAACGCTTCTGCGCAATTGCCCATACGCGTAGTGTTTTATCATCAGCAACTGAGAGCAAATATTTACCAGCAGGATGAAACCGTAATCCACGGATCCAATTATCGTGACCAACCTAAAAGCTACACCTCTCTATTCTAACATTTAAGCAAGTTGTATTTTTACCAAGAGAGTTAAATTCATTTCGAATTTTATAATGATATGAAAAATTTCTCCTTTAATAAGCTGTTTAATTCGAAACAAAAATCGTAGGAGGCTTATATCATTATAGGAAAAATCGAGTTCCATTCAGTTTATTTCGCAAAGTCATTTTAGATTTCAAATTTAACAAATGTATTGGTAGAACAGTAAAGATATCAGTCTTTCTGTGGAGCACATTTATAGTGTATTATTACCACCATATGCTGCAGAGGACCATAAAAGATGTTGCAAACTTGATTCATTCACCAATTATGTTCTCACTCTGACAGTTTCGTAAGTTCACCAATAAATAAGAAATTTGCATCTTGCTCAAACTTCCAAAAATATGTTCCGCTATCGTGTGGAAGGAAGCAACTATAGACTTACCAGAGTAAACAAACAACATCCCGCATTAATATCAAAAAATTTGATCGTTTTGTCACGAGAACCAGAAACAAGAATCGGTCCCAACTTCGGCACGATCATACTACCACTTTTCTGTGTGTCACCGTTCGTTTGTGCTAAAAAAAGTTTCTTTTCCAAAAAAATGATAGTTTCGACTCCTTACATATATATATATTATATATCATTGGCCCATTGTGTTATGAGCTGATAATCAATATACATCCATACATATGTTAATTTAAGCAATTATGAAAACAAAAAACGTAAAAGAAAAAGGATTGGATAGATGGGATGTATGGATAAACAGAGACATTCCGTTAGAAAAGGCTACAGAATTTCAGCAGTACTAAGAATAGTAACAGTTCAAACTAAAAAATTAATTTAGAACTAAACAAAACATGCGTTATCATAAAAAAGATGTGAAGTGGTATAAACTTACAAGAATGATCTTGTTCGGCTTCAACAATATAACGAAGAGCCTTGTCAGGTGCCCACTGAATACACTCAACAACGTGTTCGTGATCGTGGAACTGTATCTTACATTCTTTTGATAATATATTCCATATGCAAATTGTCTACAACAAAAATTTTTTAAAAAAAGCACATATAAAGATAAACATAAGATCCAATCACACTTCCCATTTTCAACAGAAGCTCCAAATCTAAAACCTTGCGAAAAATTTATTTTGAAAAAAATAAAAATTACCTGATCATTACTACAGGATGCAAATATATTTCCGTCGTGATGCACACGTACCATTCGTACCCATTCATTATGGCCAGCAAATGTTCGCACACAGTAACCCGTTGCTACTTCCCACATTTTCACTAAATGATCTCGTGAAGCAGATAATAAATGATCACCTGAAAAAAAAAATTAAATCAACTTCGTTAAACTTTTTTCTGTCAAGGGAATTTTCTATTTTCATTTACATTTCACATCCTTTTAAATTCAGTTCCATCACGAATAAGAAAGCGATAACTGCTACAAAAGTCTTTGAATTGAATTCAACACGATTCATAAAATGACTGTAACATTTCTTTCCTCTTTTTTATCTCGTTAAAGATAGGTGGGAAGGATATTTGCATAAGACAAAAACAAATACAGCTGAAGATAAAATTCTCTCATCCAGAACAATTACAAATACGAAAAGTTAATGATATGCTTTCCTTCTAATTTCTCGAATAGGCAATCAGACGAACTTCAAACACTCCGACTTACTGAATTTGAATCTAAAAGTTCAATTCAGCTTAATTAAAAGTAAATATGGGTACCAGAAGGTAGGAATGCAATTGATGAAATATTGTGATCGTGCCCTTTGAGTGTTTTCATACAATCAAATGTTTGTACAAATTCCCATATCTTGATTGTCATGTCGGCAGAACATGATGCTAAAACAAGAATTCGATAATCGACTCTTAATTATCACAATGCATGCAAAATTTTTAGAAAAAAAGTGATTTTTTTACACCAACATGATATTTCCTTATATTAACGGATGGTACTGCAGCAACCAGAAATTAGTAGTCTAAAGTAAAAAATTGATTTGATTTTGCTACTATGCATCCACAAAAGTAGAGCATACTCAATTTTTTGGGTCGGCAACAGGAAACACCCTATCATCTTTGAAAAAAAATATGAATGAACTTTATCAATTCCCATCATCTTATGCATAGAAAAATGAATAAGCATTATCGGAAAATTTATAATCTGACAACAACCCAAAAAATAAACTTTAAAAGGCAATTGCCATAGCATGCTTTATTTAAATTACAAACACTAAAGCCATACCTAATAATTTCCCACTATTATCGAATGCAAGATCCTGTACGGCATCAGTATGACCTTTTAATGACCGTTCGAAATCACCCGTTTCGAAATCCCAAACCTGCAAAAGGTTGGTTCATTTTCAGTCATTCCAATAAAGCTCATTATCAAAATTTAACATCAAAATTTGAATAGACACCAAAATTTTAACACCAAAACTTGAATAAAATAAACTCCTAAGTAAATCTAGAAAACAAATTTAATTAGTTTGAACAGCAGCAAAGCCATACAAATAAAATTAATTAACTACGCAAAAAGAAGAAAGTACATCAACAATTTACCTTAACTGTTGAATCTTCACTAGAGGATGCAATTATGCTGTAGACAGGATGAAATATAACTCGAGTGATCGGTGAACGGTGACCGCTTAAGCAAAATTTTTCAGGTGGTCGTGGGATCCATTCACCTGGTTGTCGTTTTTCCCTGTAACATATTTTGCTTCGCAAATAAAAAATATTGTGAAAGGAAAAATCCTAATAAAATAAAACACTTGAAAATGTGAATAAATTTTCTGGAATTTCAGAAAAATTATAACTGCAGAACAATTACAGCCAGATGAATCACATCAGAATTAAATTTATAAATCACATGAGCATTCATTTAGAAACGAAATTATTGCAACCTCGTTGGTGCTCCATGTATGTATTCTCGTTCAGCTTCTTGTAGCTTTGCTTCCAAATCCATAACTTTTTTCTGCAAACGGACTACCGATGTCCACTTTTTTTCCAGTAAGCCCATTACTTTTTTGTCATCGTTTTCCATCTGAAAATGTTTCAAGACTTGAAGCGTTACTAAAAAAAATGTGAGGAAGATTCGACCGTCAACCGATCTTTTCTCTCATTCTATCCAGTTGAAAAACTAAAGAAAAACTAACCAAGCCTGTTTCCCGTCTGAAAGCATTGAATGATTCGGTATAACCATATGACTGAAGATAATCAGCAATTGCGCGGTTTCTAGAAAACAAGAATCTTGTAAAAAACTCCAGTCTAAATCTCGAGAAAGAGCATGATATCATAAATTATCTACTTTTGAATTGAGTAAATTACATCCAGTAATAAGTACAAAAAACTTGCGAATTTGTTCGTTGTACAAAACAGCAACAGCAAGTGATAAAACAGTATTACAAATTAACTTGTGGTAAGAAAAGAGAAAACTATTTGAAAAATTATTTTTACAATTCATCGCGCTGTTTTTCGGATAAATTCATTTTCATTGTTGCAAATCGATCTATTCCTTGAATAAAACCAATGATTGCGGCTTGATGAGAATTTCAGTCGATGAAAAAATTTAACGGAATTTAGTAGCAAGTCAGAATGATAACCAGAAAGCGTGCAAAACGCAGCTGCTATTATTGATGTTACCAGACAAACAGAATCAATATTAGCTTGCTAGCCTGGAAAAAGTGAAAATTTTCTAAAATTTTTTTATTTAAATTTCAAAGAATAACGCCCTGCAAGATAGTGGACAATTCATAGAACCAAGGAATAATGGCGACGAATTAACGATGATAAAACCGAAAAGAGAAAATAAAATATAATAACGACTGTAGATCTCTCAAAAACTATTGATTGAATCTACTGGTAAATGTGAAATGTAAACAATCTACATACCGAGCTTAACAATGACAATGATTGCAAGTAACGGAAGCATGCCATCTTATCCCAATTAATTTATTTCATCAATAGTCCCGATATACATACATACAAACACATACACAGATAGACACAGGCATTCGCGTGCACGTTCCACATCACATCCCTACTCTTACCACTATAGTAGTCGAATTCTTTGCATTCACTCCTAAGAAAGAACAAAGAAAAACCCACACTAACCTAGTTCACAATCAGCCTTCTGCTTTGATGACATTTCAGGTTTGATTCTCAAAAATTCCAGATTTTGCGACTAAAGATTTTAGCTTCTACAGATTAGAAATCTTTTAATTAAACTTTAACTGGAGTTAAATAGGATTAATCACTGTGAGATTTAATCAAAAACCATCTTCCTGTTCGTCTCGCTTATATATATCAGTTTCAGTAAACCGTGGTGATTCTCATTTAATCCAACTCACAAATACAATCCTTGATAAGATTAAACGTTCTAAAAGATAAAATGACTTTTACTTCCTTTTTAACATTTTTAGACGGTAAACTACTGGAAGTGAAAAAGATTGAAAACCACTTAACGATGATATCTGAGAGCGATTCGAAACGGATGTACCGACCTTGAATCATACATCTTGTAAAAAATGTGAAGTTACAGAAAACAAAAAATAATAAAATGACCATCTAATTCATTATTTTGCATTTCTACATCCTCTCAATTGGTAAAGACTTGGACAACACATGTATTTGTCGCAAAATGTTTTTGACTTGCAGATTTAAAAAAAAAAAAATGTATTACCGCTCCTATTACTTCTACTAATATACTACAGTTTTATTAGTACCATTGTACTTCATATTTTCAAAAATCTAATCTAGTTTTCGTGAAACGAAGAACGAAGATGACTAAGAACCATCTGCCAAATTCTCAAGAACTATTGTTGAAGGTGATGCGACTATCTTAATTTCACAGAAGAACTCCCATGAGAATTGGAAAACTTTGATAGTTTTGATATTTCGAAAACCTGCCATAAACGGACAATTTTATTATGAACCAGAAGAGAACTTATGTGAACTGATAATGACCTTCGCTGAATGTCAAATGATCAAAAATCTCGGAATAGCACTTTATCATGGGCCGCTATTCAAATTTTGAAATAATTGTAATTAATATCATAAAAAGAAACTAAAAGAATAGAAGTGGGAAAGAGGACAGATTCTACCTTCTGAATTCTACCGAATTCAATACGAAATGTCTCATAGTGGCTCTGAAATTCTTTCAGATTATTTTTTTAACTAATTGAACAAACCAATAAAATGCTAGTTAGAAGCTGAAAGAGATTTTAATTATTTTGCAATTTTTTCAAGTGCCACCCCATAATGTCGATGTAAGACGTACCGCACACGTGTAAAGTGGAAAGTTTGATAGGCGATAATTAATTCGGAAAGATTGCATTGAATTTTTCTAATCTCAGAAACAACTAGGTAATTAAGCTGATTTTCCGTTTTTTCTCTTCTATATCCAACTTCACTGATTTAAAAATAAGCCTATATGAAACATGATACAACTAAGACCTCAAAACGGTAACAAAAAATCTTTAAATACAGAAACATACATAATCGTGTTTTACACATTATCCTCATTCACTCCACAACCGATCATAAAACATGTTAAGAACCAAATAAAGCAAAATTGAAACGACAGCAAACCGAAGAAGCTTATGACTAATCAGTGCCTTTAAAAGTAGAAAAGAGGTTCGAACAATGAATTAATTCTTACAAAAATTTTTCAGCAAAAGTCAAACGAAATCCCTCCACCTTTGTCGAAAGACATCAAACCCTAGTGCTGAAAATTTAAGATAGAAGAGTACTAACTTGAGCATTAACTTGTCTGTGAGAAATAGGTGAAGATTAATAAAAATTAAGTAATAAGAATAAAGTGAAATAAAATGTTGCTACTACGAAGGTACAATGTAAATCAAAGGGAAAGTTAAAGCATATGTTATCAAATCCTAAGATCATTTTCTGAATGATCATCAGAAGAAACAGTATGGCACAAAAATTGTCAGATTTTTGATAAAAACATTCAGTTTGATAAAAAATTGAATGGAGATCCGATGATTGTTCGAAAATAAGCAACAGGTTATGCCCGTTTGCTTGACCATCTCAACCCTGTGGAATAATGTTTCTGAAATATCCGTCTTACTTCAACTTTCACAGCTCTATGTTATAATTGAAATTTTATAAAAATCATGACAAAGTTCATATGTTCATATAAACTCACGTCCTGAACCATTCAAATGAAACTTAATAGTTGTTGCATTATCTGCTTTCTGAAATATTTCTGATAAATAAATAATACATATTAACAATAAACTCGAAAACATGAATAGAAGACATGAATTATCAGAAGTGTCAAAATCAGTCTTGTATAACGAACAACAATGTCTTGCATTCTGGAATTTGAATACTCAAAATCGATTCCGAATTATCAAATATTTTTCTTCTACTTTATTTTTCTTCTATGATATCAAACAGTTACTGATCGGTAGTTTGATCAGATTAGATGGAAAAGAGGTTTTGAACAAATATACGGTCTAAATAGTACCATAAAACTCTTGCAACTCCCTTCAACTTTACTTTACACTTCTGTTCATCTCAACAGAAATGGAATTTTTTAAAGGAATCTACTATTTGTGCAGTAAAAGATTAGATATTTCCACATGACATAGCAAACTACTTCAAATACCAGCAAAAGAAACTTATCTCCTCCCATTTCATCAAATTGTAGGTGAAAGAGTCCGTTCTCAATGTCTTCTCCAACAATTATACCAATAAGAAAACAAACGTTTGGGAATTCGAAGAGAAGAAATGCCAGAACATTACAAATTTATAGTCTTTCGCATTTTGAAAATTAAATCCGAATTCGTAAAAATCATTAAATCGAAAAAATTAATCAAAATTTCGTTAAAATGAGCGAACAATTCCAAGAAAATAGCAGAAATCGGATTTTGTCGATATTTCCTTTTCCTAGTCTTTTCAACAAAAGAAAAGATAACCTACCAAATAAAAAAAGAAGAGAAAAACAGCTCATTCTTCCAACCAATTCGGATAATGATTTAAAAAACTTTTGCTTATGAATATACAGGATGACTGAAAAACTAAGCTGCCTGATTATACAGAATAATCGAGACGAATGACACTGAAAATTTATGTTAGTTTACTAGCTCCATTACCTGACCGTAACGATGTCATGCTTACAAAAAGATTAAGTCCCCACATAAGACCAAACATAATCTTAAGCAAGTTTTCAAAAAAGAAGCATATTTAAATTCATCTTTTATCTTTTATGTTGAATTTAACTGCAACTTCCAGTCGTTTAATTCCATACAAATATGGTATCAACTAATAAATCATTAACCGTGCTACTCAACGCACTTTTTCCCACATTTTTCTGCACAGTTTGTTTCAGTAGCGCCGATCGACTATGTATGCTCCACTGTGTGTTCCTATGCATTAATATTGTCATCTGATACTTTGGGCAATTCGATAGCATAAAAGCATACACAAATAAAAATGCAAATACGATTTAACATGTTAAAAGATGTCAAAGTCTTAATGAATGTGACATACGTATATAATCTGTCCCATTTTTTTTCGAATGAGTTACTAAATAGATATATATATTTTTTCTACTCATAACAATGGATTGCATATGCATTTTGCACAAAAACATAGACACAAAAATATACTCTAGGTCATTTCTTTCACTGTTTCTCATAACTTCTAAATATGGTTGTGATTTCAAGATTGTGTTGGAAAAAATTGACACTAAGAAATTTTCAGAAAAACCCAACACATATTTCAAGTATTTTTGTTGTTAATTTGTTCTGCCAAAAAAATGAACTGGCCAAAATTCCGATCTGAAAATGAACGGCGGACATGATCTACAAAAATGGCTCGTAATATATCAAAAATAAAAAAGGAAATTTCATTTGAACATGATCGCATGCATCCTATACAAATTCATTCTGGCTTTTCCGGGAACAATTAATCTGCTGTGCAACCAATACAACAACAAACAAGGTCCTTTCCTACTTCAAAAAAAGCTCATATTGGTAGGGTACAATTTGATTATCAATCGATATCAGACTAATCAGTGTAACCAATTTTAATTTAAAAAAAAACTCTAATTTCCGGAATACCAATTACCTCTTCATCGTCATGACTTGCCATTTCAAACACATCTAGAAAAGCAAAAAACATCTCACGTAAAAACTGGACGGAAACTACAGAATCGGATTCAGTTGAAACATATAAGATTTTCCAGAAAATCTGCCCTACGAACATTAAGAGATTTGTGCGTGGCGAACTGGAGACGCTTGTAAACAAATTGTATATATACGTCCCGGAAAATTTATGCAGTCAAACAGAACTTAACGTAATTTTCTCTCGCAAAGGTCGCCGTGAATCTTTGATCGGATTCATCGTTGTTGCGTCACCGTATGTGAAGTACTGGGTCCATTCATCGGGCATTCACCTAATTAATTAAGTATTTGACGAGCCCGAAATTACATTTATATACATAGTATTTCAAAGAAGAGAATGTAAGGAAGATTTTCCCCACTGCACATTTTTATTCCTCTTTAACATTCTCTTGTCCTCCTTCTTAGCACATTTCCTCCAAATGAGCGGATCAGGAGGAATCAAAGAGAGATAAAGTGTAAGTATGAACATGAAAAGAATGCTAAGAAGAACGGACGGAAGAAGATAGAAAAAGAGTTAGTTTCGACGATATCGAAAAGTATGGATGGCATCACCACCACCACCCATACACATCATACGATTGCAGACGCTCCACATTCTTCTCTTTCACTCTCTCTTTTTCTCTACGCTGACTGGTTGAAACTACCCATATATTAAATTGAAAAATTCGTTTATTGAACCCCTCGGGAGCCACAGATGGTAATGACACATCACAGTCATCCTTTTCACTGCTTCCTCTCCTTCCTCTTATCCAATACTGATATGTAAGCAAAACAAGTGATAGCGATGACATTATTTTCGAGGCATGTACTACATTAAGTTTCAATCGCCAGCCGTAAATTGTGTATAGCAAGCAGTCGATTAAAGCAATAAATCAACTGTACAGCTGCATAGTAGTAGCTAACCTTAAAAATAGACGTTATCCTCACATAAAAAAAACTTGAACCATGTTGAACAATAAGAGTAAAATTCTGCGTTCTCATAACTCCATAACCAGCCATAGGAAAGAAATCATTAAATAATTGCATTTGTCATAATGATAGTGACAATAATATCGGATTTATTGCTACGATCACAACCATTATGATACGCACCATCATTTAATAATGACCTTAAAAATGTTTTTTTAATCTACCATTACATTTTTCGACTTACTGATGTCCTACACAATCATTATTTAAACCGCTTAAATTACAATGAATGACCGAAAGGCCTTTACGTAAAATGCCCGACCCAATTCCTTGATGATGAAATTAAGAAGAAATTCCTTTGTTTACAACTATGGCATAAAAAAACATTGAGTCACCCTGTGGTACACACTATGACGTATCGAAGTACTTAATAGCGAACTTTCAGTCCACTGTCAATGCTTGGTGTGCAGATGAGCTATATGGAATAAATCAATCAGCTTCTTCAAATTATTTAACCTTGATGTTTATTTTAAACATCGACAATTATGAAACAACTGATCAATTTTGTCAGTGCATTTCATTGCTTTCTAAAATAGCAATGTAAACGGTCATTCTCAAACAAAATAATGCAACCATCTTATATAAAATTTGGTTGTATTATTCTCTTCGATAAAGAGTAATGCATGTAAGATGGGTTAACAGGCAATAAGGCAAAAAAGATAATAAGTCTCATGTACACGATGCAATTTGAAGCAAAGACAAATATACATTTCTTCACATCCTTGCATCCTTCTTCCTTAATACAAATCCATTTTCCACGGATCTATACTTCGTCCACACAACGATCCATCAGAGGAGCTATTTCTTTTTACCTCTTTAGAATTTTTTACCACATACGATGAAAATAGATATTTGCATATGTAGAATTATGGTCAATTTTCTTCTAAAAAATGTTTTCACACCTAAAACTAATTTAGTCACAATATTTCACTTATTCAGTTGTGAAATATCCTTTAAGGCTGTCGATATTGAAATACTCCCTACTCGTTGCTCTAACCTGACAATATGAAAACTAAAACTCTAATTTATCACAAAATTACTATGACAGTATTGCTATAAAAAAAGTTACTGAAGTACTTAGTTGAAAAATCTATGGTTCATAACTAATTTATCCGAATGTTCACTAATAGAGGCTATCAAACACTCAATATCATCATCCATTCATTATTCAACCTTGAGTTTCTCAACGCAATAAATGTCCTATTTGTTCCATTCCTTGTTGGAAAGGTAGAAAAGAAAGAGATTTAACGGAGCAATTGCATCCCTGTGGCACACCTTTAAACAGCCCTTACATAAAAACCATGAAACTTTTTCGTAGATTTGAAAAAAGAAAGGAACATCAGACCCATTGAGACTACAAAGAACAAAATTAATAAAACCGATAGTTTTCTACAACGAATCAAACAAAAATTGCAAACCAAACTGCCTCACATATATCTATCCTCCCGGTAATGAACACTAGCAAGATCCCAAACATCCTGTGGATGTCACGGATAGCAAACTCAACTTTTTATCATATAAAGCATTTAAGTTGGGAAAAAAATTTTAAAATAAAAGCATATAAGAAAGGACTAATTCGTTAAAGTCTACCAAATTCAAAAAAAAGCAAATAATACCCAACAAAAAACACAAACATCAAACAACATTCAACAGAAAAACAGGAAAATAATAAACCCACGTAAATAATAGAAGTAAGATTTCACGCGGCCGACTTATCTTGTGAAACGCTTTCATCTTTTGACCACATGAATATTTCTACCATGCGAAAATGGCAGATATCGAACACAGGTCTGGACAAGGGGTTTAACAGGTTGTATTTTCATGCATTTCAATCGAAACACAAGAAATAAAATGGTAATAGAAGCTACAAGAACCAGAAAAAAATTAGCCTACCAAAAAATTTCCATCAATTAATTGTGACTGCAGTATGCTTGCTGCGATAAGATTTCTCATACTCCTACCGCTGAATAGCGTATAAATACCTTACGAATATTGTAAAATTTGCAAGATAATGATAACTACATAAAATTCCTCTCGACATATCTCTAATTCTAAAAAATTTTTCTAAAAATCGTATGCGATGACAACTAGCTACAATACGTTTCAAGAAATCAAACATTATATATGTCGAGGCTTTTAATATTACTAACATGTCAGCTTTAATCGCAACAATATTTCATTAAAACATCGAAAGTGATACAAGCTCTTCATTCATTACAGCTGCGACATAGCTTTCGATAATTTGAATCATTCTTAGCATAAAGCAAAAATCTTTGTTACTCATTCTGAGAGAACTTACACAAATTCAAAGGGAAAATAATTCTTCTCTGATGCAATGAAGCAATTCTCAAGCGGCATTTCCTTCTCTCTTCCCAATTTTTTATTTCAATCAATTGCAAGCTATCGTAAATTTCACTGTTTTTACTTCCTCACTGAACAATCTCCTTCTCAGTTTTAATAATGAAGTTTTAAGTATTCATTAATTTTCTTCCCACATCTTTATCCCTTTTAACCCCCAACAAAATTTTAACCAAATAAATACTCCCAATCTGAAGATACATAATATCTTTAAATTCCAATTTTTCCTAGAGTTTATTTGTTCAGAACTCATAGTATAGTATTTCATTAATAACCTGACCAACATGTGCTTTAAAATAACCGGTTGAATGACTTCAATATGCTGATGCTTCGCTGTATACAACGTCAACAGCAGAAGCACCATATTGAATGGTAGGAAGTTATCATATTCTTACTTAAATGTTCATTTAACAACACATTATATATTATGAAATGAACTGAAAAACTGTAATCATTGATCGAACAACTTCAAATCAAAATAATGCCAATGAGATGAAGCAACCACTGAATAAGCAATCTTTAATCTAACAAATTAATAAAGTTATATTCTAATATGGCAGGGAATAACTTTCCTAAAACGTTGAGAAAGCAAGAAGTTTCATTACATAGTTCATGTTTTTGAGTTTGGCTGACTTTCCTTGAGTGATGGATAATTCCTGCATGTACTTCCATCAAAATTTTCTCATTAATCTCAGTAAAACACCACTAGTAACAGCTGATACTACCAAGGCAATTACGATTCAGGAACAATTATGCATACACATCAACTAAACCCCTAGAGAATATTGGCATATTCATGTAAGCAGGAACTGTATCGAGTAGATTCTGAGGGATGCCAAGAATCGGATATTTCGATACTCGTCTCCACCATTAACTTAATCATTGACTCTACTATTGCTTCATCGTGTCCAGAAATTTCTCATTTTAATCAGGGAGTGTCTAAGTATGTTCAGGGAATGAAACAATCTTTCCCACTCATTTTTTCAACCTTGAAGACAGCAATCAAAAAATAGTTTATAAAAATTTCACCCAATTTATATAAGCCTACTTACTGATTACCGTATCCACCACTAGGAGTGCAGAAATCTTTTCCAGTTCTTAAAAGTCTATTACGACTTAAAAAATAATTTTGATCATTTCAAAACCATGTCAATACTCTCCGTCAAACTATTTGTAGCATGGCTAGCGGTTGAGTTTTTCAATAAATTGAAGAAAATACATGAAATTGTAAGCAACCCAACTTCTACCCCAGCTGAGCTAAAGAAAAAGAATTTTTCTTTAACATGTCAGTCTCAACTGCAATATTTAGCTCATTCAATATAAATTATTCCAGAGAATCAACAAACTTTTCGTATTTCTTTTTCAACAAAAAAATTTATTTCATTCGTTCTGAAAATTCAATAATGCAAAGCGAAAAACGAAGTAGTGAATAAGGTAAGTGAAATAGAGATTGTACCAAAATAACTGAAAATGTGAATTTTATTAAATTTGCATGAAAAATTACAAGATGGACAAATCGCGAAATGATCCATTAATATATATGTACAAAGTCTTAATAACATGGGAGATTCAATTTGGAAGAAAAATTTCACAGGATATACACAGTGTTAAGACGAGTAAATTGATACAATAAAACATTTGGGAAAAATCAGATGAGGAAACTAAAATCTATAACAACTGGAATTGAAATTAAATTTTCCCTTAATTATTTTTGACAAAACTGAATGAGTAAAGCATGACAGAACACAAACCAATTTTAAGTATTAGCTAAATAATACAACGATTATCATAATACAACGCTTCTTATTATAAATAAATGCTCAAAAAAAAAAGAAAAATTATAAATAAATGCTCAAATCAATCGCACTTCATGCAAGGTCATTTTCCCAGACTTTAAACATGATCTGAGCAAAACAATACTCATTAAGTGTTGCGTTCTGAGTCAGAATCAAAAATATATTGCTCAGGACGTGGATTTGAAGTTTCCGAACCTGAATCTGATGCCAAAACTTCTGCATCGCGGAAAAATTCTGCTGAATCAAACGTTGGATCATCAAGTGAAAATAAATAACGAAATAGCTGAAAAAAGCTGATATAGTCAACATTACATTTGCAAATAATGACGCAATATAGAAATATTTACAACTTATCGAGTAAATCCCAAATTACCCAAATTCCCAGGGCAAGTAAAGAGTTATGAACCAGCAAACAAAAAAACTTACAGCTGGACCTTGGGAAGGTGGACTTTCTGATCCAGATCTTCCAACACCATCAACACCGGCATTCGTTCTTGAAGTTTCTCTCACAATATTCCCAGTGTTCATTACATCATCTTGCAGTTTTAGATTCTCTTCCATTGTACCATCTCCTCTTTTTCTGGATCGTGCTTTGCTATGAAATTAGTACAGTTTATATGAAAGCTGAACGTTGAATGTATCGAAACCTTCATGAAGAAAAACAGTCCCTCAACTTACCAGACCTTTTTTTCGATTTTGCAGAAATCCATTAAAAACAATATACTTCAAAAAAGCACAATCTGTCACCTGACGGGAGAAGACGCTGCGCATGGAGGACCAATAACAAAATCCATGTTCTCTAATCCATTGAACGGTTCATTAGCATCATTACTTTTGGTACTTGATGTTTTTCTTGCTACCGTACAATCTGCTACCAAATTTTCCGAAAGATGAGCATTTAACAAAGACTGACTTCGCTTCCGCTTAAGCTGTCCTTCGCGAGCTGGGACATGAACGATTTCGACAGGAATTTCGGAATTTACGTTATAACCTGCGACATCATCCACAGCTGTTGCAAGTATTACTTCAGCTGTGTAGTTGACATCATCTTCCAAAGCTATTACTATCGGTCTGAAAATTTCTTCCTTTACAAGTATCCAAAAGCCGTACATTTTCATTTCGGTTCCTCTCCTTTTTCATTCTTCTATCAATAGCACTTTGCTTTACGGCAACCGCGAGTTTAAAGGCATAAGAATAGTTTAAACCTACGTTCCTGGCTGGTCAAAATAAATACTGACAGGTGACTGATGAACATCAGCAAAGTTCACGATAGCTTTCAGTTCCTTTAAATTCACAGTGATTTCGGCCGGTCGTTGGATACTATACTTTTGAAATTCAGAAATTGGAATTTTTCCTTCGGTTTTCATAACCATATCTCTATCTAAACATAATGAATCAAACACTGAAGAACTAATAAAATTAAAACTGAAAGTAACTAAATGAAACTGGAACCAGAAGAGACAGGATAAATATATAATAAACAAGATGTAAGTTAAATCTAACACTAAAATGTATTACGATGATTGTCTCCTATTATTTCCTTGTCAAAAAAGCATGGAAAAAAATCTTAGAACTTAGCTAACTGAATGTCATATGCAGTAGCGATTAGCATTTTGAAAAGAAGAAATGAAGTGGAAAATTTTTAGAAATTGAAAATTTTAATAGACATTAAAAGAAAGTGATCAAAATCCAAGTTTATTATTTTACATGAAATTGTATCGATATAACCAAAAGAAGAATAAGTAGATCGAAAACAACCTTGTTCGTGTGTAATATAATTCCTGAATGATATTTCTTCAATTTTAGCATCAATTGAAATTTCATCTGTGCTGTGATGCATCCGATTGAACATATCGAGCAAGAATCTAACAAAATAAGATTTTTTGAGAATCTAATTTACACAAAATTTACGAAATTCGCACAATAATGGAAAGTAAATAACCTTGCTTGTATCACAAAACAGTTATTCAAATTTGCTTTGTCAACAACAGTTCGAAACATGGTAGTGCACTCGAAGAACGGTATTTTATGATTCCTCATAACATCTGAAGTACTTTTGCCAAGTGCATAAAATTGATGAATGTAATGTATCATTTCTTGATTCACACTTTTAATGAACAAACTAACTTTTGCCGTTTTTGCAACATATGAAATATAACGTAAAAGACAAAAATGCGAAAGTACGCAAAAAGCAACGAATATTGCTAGGTAATATAAATTATGACAAACCATATGTATGCGTGAGTTGAATAAGCATGGTATCAGCACGAGGATTGAGATAAAGCTGACAGGAAAGAACTGCTTTTTCAGAATTTTTTACACACTTGAAGGCTGATAACGCACACTAAATAGAAAACCATAAAGAAAAATGAAAAACATATTACCAATAAATTTTGTATGAACTGAAATTACATCAGAGTTGTGATAAAATCACCTTGTTCATTTATTCAGAAAAGCCAAACAAAAACCTTCATCGGAATTCGGCAGACATTGTAAGCGTTCGAATCAAGTCTCAACACATCACATTCACTAAAGAATGATTTGGAAAACATAAAACTACCAAAGGCTGATTTCGAACAGCTTAATGATCGTAAAACAAGCTGAAATAACACTGTTATAACCAACCGATGATTGAACTCTTCATTTTAGAATTTCAGCTATATCCCCTTGATATTATAATTCTGCTTTTCTGAAAATTTTAGCCATCATCTCGCTTCTTTCTTGAAATTTTCAATAAACTTACACCGAAATCGCTTGGTTCCATGTATAGTTCATTGCCAACACGATTCAATGCCAAAATTGCACGAGCAAATACTGAGAAATTCAGGATATGTAAAAGAATAAATTCGAATTTCAATGGACTTAAGCTAGTATCCAAAGTAACAATTATAAAAAAATGAAGTTCCCAAAGTAATATCATAATAGACCTTTGATACTATCTTTTGACATCAAAACACATGGAATTTTTAAAGATCTGATAAAGGTTATTTATATTCTTGCATGCTGAGTTAACGTACAATCGAGCTATAAAGTTTCAACCTACTTTTGAAATTGCCATGAAGAGTAAAAGATGCACCGGCAGTGACATCTTCATCTCCCTCCTCCTCAGGTAAATCCATAAATGTTTCTAAATCGTTGTAATTTTATCTCAGAATAATCCTTTAAAATAATTTGGAATTATTTTGGAATCATCATCGTATAAAAAGTTTTCGAATTACACCTCATAACAAATACGGACAATTTGTTTTCTCCCAGATGACATTTATCAGAATAATGAAGGATGGGAAATTGAAGAGTTTGGACGAACTTCAGCAATGAACTGGATCAGGAACGAAACAGAAAACAAAAAGTCACACCTTAAAATGAGCCATCGCTCATTCACTCCCGCCAAAAGCAATTCCCGGATCGGCCACATCACTAGAAAGTATATTACAACTCGTCCTGCGCTTCGCTTCTCTGTAATAGTTTCTAAATTAATAATAGGGATTTCAATTACGTGTATGGGCGAGTACACGAAGTTTGTTGGCAAAAAAGTGATATTGGTACCTTATCGTAAGCGTCACGTTATTAAGTACCACACGTGGATGGAGGTATGATGCATTCTTTTAGATTTCAAAAAATTATTGTTGGGGTGCTAATAACAATTTGACTGTAATATACGATGTGGTACTGACGTTTCATTTTCAGGATGAGGAATTACGGAGGTTGACAGCATCGGAGCGTTTGTCACTTGAAGAGGAGTACGAAATGCAAGCAAAGTGGCATGAAGATAATGACAAATGCACTTTTATCATCCTAGCTCGTGATTTAGTTGATGGTGGCGCAGATGAGGTGAACTTTGAATATAGTCCTTGCATGATCTGATTGGATGAAATCTTCATGAAAATGTGAAATACTGCGCTCAGCAGTCCTCTTGCTTAAGTGAGCACATTTTCCAGGTTGCTAGTATGGTGGGTGATGTCAATATCTTTATAAACGGTAGCGTTGGCGAACTTACAGTTATGATTGCCGAATCCAAATGGCGCCGTAAAGGTTTAGGTGAAGAGGCGGTTCGGATAATGCTAAGCTTTGGGTTTCAAGTGGTCGGGTTGCGGGCTTTCGAAGTGAAGATTTCAAAGGACAATGTTAGCAGCTTGAAACTTTTTCAAAAGATCGGTTTCGTCGTGACTTCACAGTGCAGTAAATTTCATGAATATACGTTATCAATCGAAGAGGAACATATCCTTGAAGCTATTGGAAGTGGACAATACGTTTGAGTAACACTGAGTGGTAACTGAATACCCAGCATCTTTTTTGTTTGCCGACATTATATGGAGATCTAATTAAAGAGATTTCAGCCGAGATTTAAATCAAATAGTAATTTGGGCTGAATGAGGAGCAACAATAAGCATTCTTGGTTATCATCCTCTGTTGGTTACCATCTAATTTTATATTTAATTATGGTGCAATGGTTATTCGAACATATTTCAGAACATTTATATCAGCTGTAATGGCTGAGTTGAGCCTTCATCGAAATAACCATACTATTCTAATCTACTCACAATGTATGTGAAAATGCCGCATGGATACTCGGAAAAAAATTGCATAGTAAATAAAAGTGGAGGCATGGCAATTTATTAGTCTCTCATAAAGTTAAGGCTATAGATGTGCAATCATCAGTCGCATTCTCTATCAATATGAGATTGTAAAATAAGCTCCTTTTTTTCTTAATGACGTCTACAGGCTTTGGGAACGTTTAAGGAAGACCATCAATTAGAGCAATTGCAATGATCCGTTTATCTTTGTATTAAAAAAAATACCCAATGTTAAATACGGAAAGGTTGTCAAATATTCCTAGTGAGATTTGAAGAGAATTTAGGGCTATAGTGACTGAAATAAGAGTGGACGATGATGGCCTTATTCCATTTTACAATGGCTATTCCACTATAATCGTATGTTTGTATTTATTTGTATACTTATGTATTACTTGTAAGCGTTGTATTTCTTGGCTTTAATTGTGAATGGGCGTTTAATTTTTCTGTCTTTCTTAGATACTGTTCCTGCGACAGCATTATTCCGTTTAAAGTTCAAAGTAATGAATTAAATAAAGTGGAAGTAATGTGACTTCAAAATTTAGAAATGATGGCTATATTTAGTTATGATTAGATGAAATGAAACGAGTAGAGTGTTGGAACTGCCATAAAAATTATAGGCACATAAAATAGTTCAAATGCACTAAACATTTTCGCAATGACTGGGGTATTGTTTCTGTGAACATTGCTATCCAGGTTGTATCTACAAAATAGCGTCACGGCATCATAGGTTGCGTTCATCAATTTAATGTGAACTCATTGGACAAACAATATTTAACAATTGTTGGTGGGAAAGTTCTTGACCTTAACTTTGTCGAAACCCCAAAGATGTTAAATCTCATTAAAACTAAACAAGTCCTTATGTTCGTGAGCAACGGAGGTCAAATGCTCTTTCGCTTCCTCAAAAAGCGGGAATTCTGTTGAATTAAGCTTGAATTTCTTTGTATCCTGAATGTGACTCCTCCATTTTTATTGGACTTTGAGAATCTATTTCAAAAAAAGATAAAATAACAAAAGGCTAGTGGGTACGCGCGGTGATAAGTGATTGCAGTGCTGGCAAGTTTTTATTAACTGGTGGTAATACGAACTGGAGCTTATGTCGAAATTATACGTCAATCATACATCATTGATTCACAAAAATCAATCAAAGATAAAATCAAAACATGAAGTCAGTAAATCACTCCTCAAGGAGGACATGGTTTTGCATTCTTTTGTTTAAATATCAATAAGACTTTGAAGAACTGAAAATGTCAATTGTTATTAAAATGAGGAATTGGAATGCTCGTGAGTGATGATGACAAAGATCCGCCAGGCGCATATTCGAGTAATTATGATGTCCTTAACCTCACAGTATTTTTACGGGAAGTTCGACCTGATTCGTACAAAAACCGTTAATTGCGGTTTGATAAGCTGGACAATGGTCTTCACAGCGATCGAAGTATTGACCATTCACGTACTGTCTCACATGAACTTGACTCCCTAGACATAATACGGTACTCGAGGCTTCGTAGAATCCTAAAAATAAGACTTAAAATACTCATCTAGTTTTTCTTTTCAGTCACTCATTAATCAGCTTTTTTATTTGCTATAAAGCGGCATTGTTATATATTCTTGTGATATGCTTTAACATTATTTGCGGATAATGTTGTGTCTCATATAGTTCATTTTATTTTACTCAACAAGTGAGACTTGGTCTTAGTGCCATACGAACTTTCTATGAACAACAAAAATCTTTCAAACTTTTCTTCAAGTTCAAGATGTTGGAATAGATACTTCTCCTACATTTTATAAAATGATAGCAAAATTATGGAACTAGGAAAATGTTACTTGAAAAAGGGTTATAAACTGTAAATCCATCCTTCACTGAATGGAAATTAGGTGAGGTACAACACTGATATCCGCTATTTTTGATAGACCTGAGACAGTGGTAACCACTAGGACACAAACTTTGCTTTCTACTATTGCACTGCAATGGCGTTCCAGTTGCTGGAAAAAGAAGTGCTCTTCCGAAAGGACAACCATCACCTTGCACACCTGTAATGTTATGGTTTAAATTAAAATCTACAAGGAAATTAAACTTGGAAATTCATTTAATTTAACAATTTTATTAAATTGGTATTGCCGTTTGACGAAAAAGCATGACACAAATTTTGTTGATCATTATTGATTAAAATATCATTATTGATTAAAATACCTTCTCTGGCTTTCCTTTTGCAACAGAAGTAATTCCGGGCTTTTTTGGAGAAAGTACAGTCGAAACCAATCGGACAAGGTGCTGAGGTACAAACTTGCGGTAACCCTTTCAAGATATATGGAATGCCATTGTCGCAAGCATCGGTAATAACCTTTGACTTCTTTCGAGCATTTGTTGCTTTACGGCTACTGCTTCTGCCAACAACACTGGTACCTGGATAACCACAACAGATATTTCGTTCAGCGTCGCGACTGTACTGACAACTGTATCCTTTTGGACAACTATTCTTTGAGGGGGAACAATATCGCACCTGGAAATTAGGAAAAACCAATGGAGATATGAAGATGCACTACTCCATAACGTATTTCACACCGATATGTTATTAAACACTCATTCACCAATGAACTATGCCTGAATGGTTTTGAAACATAAATCCATCGAATTATAAATCCAATTCAACATATTTTTTTTAAAAAGCAAAAAAAATTTTTTTTAAAATATCACTCAGATTTTCATTGAGCAAAACAAAGCCATTTAGTATATTAATTAATTGCTACAATGTTTTTTGTTGATCGGCATTCTTTCCCTAATTTACTACCGTCTAACGTAATGAGCCAATTTAAGGAAATTTTCTGAGCACGCAATCATTGCTGGAACAATGGGTTCGGAGTCGAATATTTTATAGCAGCTTTTGCTTCTTTTACAACACATTTGCATAAAAATTAAGAAAGCAACCTTGCTGGATCCTTTCTCAAGATATGGTACTTGATTCGGAATTGAACATTTTATAACTTTTGTTTCTTTTACAACACATTTACCACGGTAAATGACATGCCCTCTTAGACATTCACAAATCCCTTCTTTACATATTGAACTACCCAAGCACTGTTTGTCGTTGATGCAAAGATCGCCCGGTTCAGCTCGTTCCAGACATTCACCTGCTATTAGTATTTTGCCTTCTGGACAAACTGAAATCTCCGAAAACATTCAATTTCATCATGTTTGTTAAAACTTTTACCACCTTAATTTCCTCATTTTGATAAAAAGTTTAAATATTCATTTGTTATCACTAGAACTTCTTTCACATTACTACCATTTTAAACCATGATCTGAAATTTTTTACAACTTCAACTTCCTGTGTTTTGACAATTAAGTCAAGTAATATTCACACTGTTTGATGTAAATTTAATTTTTATTCATTAACATCCCAAGTGTTTTGTAACAAAATTAATAGTTTCCATACTTTAAAAGAACCAGAAATACCTCTGTGACTAGTTAAATTAAACTTTGTCGTGCAGATAAAAATAACTACTTATTCATAAGTAAGGCGAGCTAGCCTTGTTTGCATAAGCCTGCCTCATTGCTCATTCCATCTGGACATTTGCAAGAGCCATCAATGCAACTGGATCTACCCAGACAGTGCTTCGAATTCCTACACGGCTTTCCGATTTCAACTTTATCCACGCATGAACTATCGATCAATACTTGGTCTATGGTACAAATCGCTGCAACAATTTAGTGATAATTCAGAACAAGCATGTCAGTTTAATTCGTAGCAGAACTTTTAAATTCATATTGCATCTCAAACAATGAAAAAAACTTTGATTTTTTAATTTTAATTTGATCATAATAACATAAATTTGATATTAGAATATTAGAATTAATGATTTAGGTTAGTGAACAGTCTATATAAATACAAATTATTATTCTTGATTAATAACTATATAATAAGTGCGCATACTTTCGTTTGATCCGCTTGTACAGCATAAATGAGATCCATTTGAAGTTCCTTGGCATGAATATCCATTTGGACAAACAGTTTGACCAGGTGTACACCTCTGCACTTCACCATTTGCTCTAATGAATACAACCTTCAAAGACTGTGTCTATTTTGATATCAAAAACTTGAAAAGACCACTCAAGATATGCGAAGAAGCCAATAAACTTGAACCTCCGCATATCAACTAATGTCAATTAATTTTGTGAAATTTATAAATTCATTTGTTTTACTGAATTCGTTTGTAAAGTGAGAATCTATAACTCAACATCCAATTAGGAACAATAGTTTGCACCAAATATATGACTGATGTATGCATGATTAATAAAATAATGGAAATATAAATCTGATTACAAATAACAAATGAGTGAAGACTTTTTTTAATTTCAAAAGTCTTTTGAAAAATAAAATTATGCCGAAATTTTAAAAAACTTTGTTGAAAACATCCTAAAAAATTTAAAAATGTAATAAGAAAAGTACACAATCAAACCTGCTCATTTGGACAACCACTACTGATGCCGCAGCATTGGAACTGGTTATTGAAACTGGAAAACTGGCAAAAATATCCCGTCGGGCAATTCTGTGCCACAACTGTACATACTTTTGGCTCATTTGTCGCTGCATCTCTATATGCCACTTGATTATCAGGACAACCAAGTGAAGCCACTAAAAATGAAGAAAATTCAAATCTGATTTCTCTTCCAAATAATCGATTCGATCGCGCATCTTAAGGTAACATTCTAATAAATTTTAGTTACCATATAACTTTAATTATTTCTTATATACAATAAGCCGTGAAATTACTCATAAAATTTAGATATTTAGATATAACAATAATATAAGTATTATTTTATGAGATGGGCAATGAGATTGGGTACTTGAATATTTCCAAAATAATTAAATATTTAAATTTTATGAGTAATTGACGCTTGTAGAAAATAACTGCGATCATGAACTACTTCATGATCAGCGGTCAAATGTTATCTCTTTTCAAACACTGATTTTTTTGCACTACCATAAATTATGCAAAATTGTCTACAAGAATGCCTGATTACTTAAGGATATCGTAAATAATGACATACTTTTAGTGCTTTTATAAGCAAGCAGTGGTGTCTCACCACAACACTGATAACGTTGTTTCGGCAATGACCACTGGCAAAAGTATCCATTCGGACAAGCACTTGCCACCGAATTGAACGGATCACAGGACACCACACGATTATCTCTCATATAAACGTATTTATTCGGCGGACAACCATCTATGCAAAATTAATAAATTTTTATATAAATTAGCTTACATATATTATATCGTCAATATTAGTACATCATGCAAAAGTTAATATTACGAAAGGTCTCTATAATTTTTCTGAAAAACAGTAAGAAGAAAAGATTGAGATCAAGATCTTATTAAACAAATACAATCTGTGACGTTTCCAGAAAAACAAATCAATTGGGCATATGAAATAAGTACATTTGCTAATCTTCTAAACTGGTTATAAATGGCTTGAAAATTTTTCTGCTTAGGTTGCTTATTTGACAATGTAACAAAATTCTAAAATCTGATTAAAATTCAATTTACAAAGTTTATCTAACTATATATTTTTCTTTGCTCAGTTGTAGAAAAAAACACATCTAACCTACCGGAAACTGGTTCATTATCGCTTTCGCAACAATAACCGGTCGTAAATTCGGTTTGTGTACTTTGACATGTGTAGCCAGTAGGACAAGTGATAAAAGGTGAATCCAGTTGACATGAACGTGGCATTTCACTGATCGTTTCCATGTAAAACTTAGCACGATTCGGACATAAATAATTGGATGAACAACAGTGACCCTAGAGAGAGTATATTTTAAACGATTTCAACAAATCAATAGATTAGAACGGAAATCAATAAATTTTTAGTTAAATTCTAAGTTCCAAAAACTGTTTAAAATAGTTTTAGAAAAACTTACTATCTTCAGATATTTTACTTTCAAAAAATTTTCTTAAAGGAATTTTTTTAATTATAACAAAAAGGAAGTTATATAATTGAATATGCTTATCAATTAAACAACTTCTAAGTTATTTTATAAGCAATCAAGCAAATGTATAAACTGGTCATTTATTCTAACGGTGGAACAATAGACGTAGCAGTTCTGTTAAATCCGAACTCTAACACAAAATTTCTTTTTAATAATCTTTGAAAAAAATCTCATATACATACAAAAAAAGATTTAGAGAGTTTGATGTACTTTCAAAAGAATGACAAAAGTGTCGATTAAAAAAGAAATTTCGAGGGAGTATTTATGATATATTTAGCATCCTTTAAAATTAGTTTAACTAGTATATTTTATATCTCTGCATAGACAACATGCCAACAGCAGATCAGATTGATTTTCTAAGCAAATTTAGATTGAATGACTATTTTTTTCAATTATAAATCAAATACAAAATAACCTGCAGAGCTCCTGGAACTTCAGACAAGCAGCTGTATCCCGTTGGACATTGATTACTTCCACTGCTTATCATACAACGGATGGGTGACTTCGTAGATGGATCTTTGTAAAAATCTTTGCCTTTGGGACAAACTTCTGAAAAATATGTTTAGAATTGCAGCTCAGTAAAATTTCGCAAAGGACTCCAAAGACTTTTTTTTTGATTAAAAAAATAGACTTGCATTTAGTAGGGATACTCTTTATCAATAGGAATTATCGCTCATTTCCTTTAATTTTATCTTACATGAAAATAAAGAGAACACAATTCAAAGAGTGCGTCTATCGTTTGAATAGAGTTATTTCCCTAAAACAGCGCAGTATGTTCATTACAACGAAATGCGTTTCAGCTCAGTTTATTATTGGTTCAAAATGAAGTATACTTAATAATTATACCTCCATTGGCAGATGAGCAGCAGTAGTAACGATTTGTCTGAATATGAAAACGACACAGGTAGTAGTTGGGACATGAATTACTGATATTTATCAGGCATTCGCGAACACTCATATTAAACGCATTTATGTATGCTTTTTCACCATTTGGACAAACTTCTGCAAATTTTTCCAGTCTAAATCATGAAAATTTATTCCCCCACTCTTAAATTTTTAAAAAGAATAGATGCCTGCCCTATGCACCTTAAACGTATTTATTTTCATACAGAAAGATTTAAAAAAGTATTTCAACGAATGCAAGATAAAATGGCTTAGTTACTAATTGCATAACAGAAAAAATATTGCAGTATTACAGAAACACTTCCTTCTTCTTTGGTCATCTTCTTTACTAACCGTTTAACTCACTAAGTGGTAGTAAAGTGAAAAAATGAAAAAACTTGCCCATATCTGTTGCACCACAGCATACACTTCTTCCAAAAATTTCGTCGTAAGTACATGCAAAATTACTGGGACAACTATCCTTTACACCAGTTTTGCATTCGAAAGGCATATGTGTACTCTTATTTATGTATACAGTATCGCCTGATGTACAAGCTGATGACAAGCAAAAGTTATTGCATTGCTCGAGAGTTGCAAAATTGTTCAAATTGCCGCCACAACCATTATAGGTGAATTCGATACAACCCTTGTTAGCTACATTGAAATAGAAACGTATGACAGACGACATATTGCATGAATTGCCTTGCTGAGGCGGTAACGAACAGATATATGCTGTAAACTGCTTTCAGTATACTTCATATAATTGTATCCATTATTTAAATTATTAATGATTTAAAAATTTCCTTACTAAGTAATTCCGTCTTCTCTTTCACGTCAACTTCAATTACATGAAACTTACCCAATCAAATAGATTGAGAAAACTTTGATCAAGATTGCTTCATCGATGATTTCTTCATTTCCTATTTTAAATATTTTCCGTTTGTGTACGAGAATGATGTGGAACAATTTTTGGTAAATGAATATGAGAAACTAATTTTTATATGAATTGGAAATCACCTTATTTCAAACAAAACGAACCTCGCTTTGGACAACATCTACTCACTACACTACTCCCGGAAGTAAGTGAAGTACATTCATGAGTACTGGGACAAGATACAGTTGATGAGCAATTTATCTGTTTGCCAAATTCATTTCTTTTCGGAGCACCGCTATTCGGACAGCTACTCACACCGCAATAACTTTCACATTCTTCGTATGTTGCAAAATTATTCGAATTTCCATCACAACCTAAAAAATTACTTCTCAATTAAGTTTAATACTAAGTTATATTTGCATAATTATGGCTATTTGGAAGTTGGTGAACGAATAAATTATATTGACAATTAAAATGATGCTTAAACAAGTGGAGAGACGAAAAACATGTAATAGGTGATAACTTACCATTATACAGGAAACTTTCGCATTCTTGTGTTTGTGAGTTATAAAAATAGCGATAGGATGAGCCGGTGTCACAAGTAACACCTTTACTAGAAGACAATTGACATGTGTAAGCCCTTGTTGGGCAACAACCCCACGAATATCCGTCAAAATGACATTCATAATTTAGTGGACACTTATTCACGGTATTAGAATTGGAACAAACGAAATAATTCCCTTGGTTGTCCCTGTATGCATCTCCTTGTGGACACCTTGGTTCCGCTGAAACCCAAGAAACATCTGACCTTTCAAGCAGGAAATTTCTATTTGAAATTAGTTAGCTATGATATTAGATACACTATCTATAATTTTTGAAATTTCACTCATAAAATTAAACCTATCGTAATAGTGCATTCCATCCTAATTATAACCCGAAAAAAAAAACGAAACCGAAATTGTTTCCTAACATTGTTCTCTTTTGAGTAAGAATTTTTTCCTGAAATTTTCTATCGAAAATGCTCGCCAATATTTGAATTACAAATAGTCTCAAATTCTGCTATTTCTTATCATTTTTATTTTCTCTGTAATTAACAAAGTGCTTATTTTAAACTAAATGGAATAATTACTGGAGGTCTTATTATACGATCAAACGTATTTGGAATCATCTCGACATCATTTGAAGCTCTACCATCCATTAACTGATAATTACTCAATTTTGCTACTACTAGTGCCTCAACTTTAATTCACTTGGCTTCTCCCTTTTTTGCGACATAATTTTTTTCATTCAAATATTTGCAAAATATTGAGCATTATTGATGAATTTTAAGCCAATCTGAAAAAAAGCATTACGGATAGTATTATCGCACGTATTTTGACATTCGATCAATGTCTCGAAGTTATTATCGTTGCCTTGACATCCAGTATAGTTGAAGATCTGGCATGCATGGATTGCCATATTATACCAGTACCTCCGAATACTTTGCTTGCAATTTCCGAGTCGCAATGGTTGTGAGCAAATCGAACCTGTAAGGCAGTGACAATTACACGAATTTCTACAATTTAATAATAAAAATAATTAATTCGATTTTCCATCACTTCGACATTCTGAAATTAAAATTTTTCTAATGAGAAGAGATATAGCTATATATTCTGATTTTTTTGCAAACAATAAAGCTGCAAATTAATGATTTGTCCTTATTTCTTAAACAAAAATGAGTCTGATACCAAGTTTACTTTTATTAGATTTTTTACTTACAAGATCATTATTAAAGTCAAATTTTCAATTAAATTGGTTGATTTTTTGGAATCTTATTTACTCGAATTACTAATTTTATTCATATTCTTATTTAACTCTTTTATATTTCAATAGAATAGCAGCATTCTTTGCCCATACGACCGAAATACATAGATAATAAAGAAAAGCGAGAATTCAAAGACCAACGAGGTTCAGGACAGCAAATCTTCTGGTCCCTTTGGCATTCATATGTGCTTGGGCAATGGCTATTATGACTGCATCGTTGATTGATCTGTCCGATTTTCAATGGCGTACCATATTTACACTGAAGCCTTTCGCAAAATAGTTCACATTCAGACAATGATTTGAAGTTGTTGAAATTACCCAACGCACCGTTGTATGTAAATGATATGCAGCGGCCTTGATCGGAATCATAATAATAACGGCGGGATTTTTCGAAGTTCAAGTTAAATGTTCTGGAAATTCATTTTTCTCAGATGTTATGAATTATTCGGTCATGAATAGTTTCATGATAATTAAAAACAACGAACACTTCTTTGCTAATCGCTAAATCAAAGTTAAAATTTCGAAATGAAGAATTTAAAACTTTCTATAAAACGTTTTATAAATCCGTAATTTAATCAAATATTGCATTAAATAAGAAATGAATACCGTGAACAAATTTAAATTTTGAAAAAAATCGATCCTCCCTTCTTGAATTATTTCCACTATAAAAAAATAAAATGACCTTCTACCTCTTCACACTGTAGCCAGGATCGAAATTAGTATGACGAGAAGTATCAAGGGGACGTCCACCGGCAATACTACATATGCTTGCAACACTTGGACAACAAAGTTGTTTCCAACCGATTGTTTTGCATTCAAAATTGGATAAGCATGAAGTCATCGTCTGACAGTTATTGATCGTCTCCTCTTCGTTTGAAATGCGTCTCGCTAAATACTGCGGTAAACCGCGTTTGCATGCTTAAAAATATTTATTAAATCTTTCGAAAAACGATGTGAAAAAATTTTGATTCTAAACTTTTTCTCGTCAACAGAAAATTTAAAATCTGAATTTTTTGAAAACTGAAGCTTTAATTCATTCCAGTTACAAATTTACTAATAAATAAGTTGCATATTTTAATATCTTAAACACCAAACATTATAAGTGAAAATAACATATTTAAAGTATAACTTAAAAGTTTGAATAAATTTTAGTAAATTATCCCTTCTCTTCACAATATTACTTTGACTACGTATAACTTATCACTAAAAGTATTTAAATTTTTTAAGACAACGTACTGTCTCTGCAATATGACTCGCAGTGTTCTTGAGTTTTGAAGTTATTAGGAGATTGTACTTCAGTTTCATCCCATGGATCCCACATAAACTGCTCACATATTCCGGTTACAGAATTGAACCACCAACGTGGTCGTACGCCAGTTGACTCGTCTACATTTGATTTCGCTTCATGTTTTGGTTGTATGCAAGTGAATGCTACAAGAAGGAATATTTTAAGTCCTCAAATATCGAATTACAGTTCACCCACTTCTCGAGCTTTTAAAATTAATGATAACACATTTTTTTTGTAGAAACAATATTTTAATTCCAAGCTTTTCGTTTTCCTTCTTGTTTACTTTGTTAAATCTTGACCATATGATAAAAATTTAGCAGATTTCTACATTAATTAATTATTCATTGGCTTACCACGATTTGGACAACAGATCCCATCTGCTTGTGGATGAATATTGTAAATACCTTTCATTGCTAATTTCACATTATTCAATGGTACTGCTACGCAGTCATAGATATCGGCAATATAAACTCCATTTTCCGGTTCGTACGGTTCTGTTGCATAGGTACATGCACCACCACCATTTGCTACAAATGCATTGTAATCGGTGGATGTTGAAGAACAGAATTGCAATGGAGTGATATGTTTTCCTGGCAAGATCTAAAAAATGAGGAAGGGTAATTAATCTTTTTTTTGACTTGTAATCTCAGATTACAAGCATTAGTAAATAGCTGCTTATAACAGGTATTTGATACGATGTGAATACATTTTCTCTTACTATCAGCAAAACGGTCTAGCATTCTCGTTTAAAGCTAAGTAAAGTATTCGGCTCCCGCAACATACATCGTAATCATCTGGATCAGTCATTGCTGGATTCCGAAGTTGTGATATCGGCATTGTCAATAAGTCATCATCATATTCTGGAAGCGGACATTTCGGCACCGGATCACCATCTTCTCCAGATAATAAGATGCAAAGAACACTATCATGAGTACGCGTTTGTACATAGGGAATTCCATTAACATCAGATGGACATTCACATTTATTGTCTTGACAACGAGCACCGGGCCATGCAGCATTGCACTGTTCCGAATACTGGCAACCACTTTCACCAATATTTTTCTCTGCATTTAATCGTTTATAATTTATTTCTTTATTCAAAAAAGAATTAAATAAGGAACTTTCTTAGAACCAATTGTGAAAATTTGCTATTATTTATTTTTTCACTAATTATGTATCATCAGAGTTTAATCTTTCTTACTTCCATGTTATGATAATTTCTATTATTACGGCTCCTTCTATCGCTATCCTAGAATAGCACGAAGATATCCTCTGCAATGCAAATTAGAAACCCGATATGCCAGCATTTCTAATTTTCTAGGATAGCAACAGAAGCATTAGTCACACAACTTTGAATTAATCAATCGCTGGAATGAATTAAAAGAAATATTGCTTATTCACTGAATATATTGGCAAAAATCCTGAAAATAGTTCCAATTCAACCATCATTACTTAGTAATACCCAATCGATGTGTTCAGAGAAATCGTTCATCTTGAATATAACATTCCCGCTGAAAATTTCAAATTGAAACTAAAATTTTTAACAAAAGGCTCACTAAGATAACAATATCCGTGAATGGCAACAAAATTGCTTCGGCATGCACAACTACCATCTGAGCAAAACATTCCCTGCAAACGACTTTTAAAAATGAAAAAAGTTGTTCTTTTACATCTAAAAAACCTCGTTGGTAATTTCAACTGTTTATATTAAATTTTTTCGAAACTATGAAGCTTTGTTTAGCTAATAAAATAAGTACTTGTCTATTAAACTTAATTGATATCGTAAGTTGCAAGAATATTTTGCCAAGTTCATTTTATCTACAGCATATATTCCGGGATCATACCAATACACTAGCTTCCATCAGTAATAGAACAGCGATCGTTCTTAGATCGAAATTAGCTCAGATTATTTGACAAATCAGAAAATCTTTTTATACTTGAAAAAATCTCCGAAACAAGTATTCATTACACTGTATTAAAATGTGCGAAAAAGATCTTTGAAATTGAATTGATGGCTGAATACCAATAATCAATTATTTTGAAATACTTATGGAATTTCATATGTTAGTCAGTTTATGCACTTTTTAAATTCCATTTCAAAAAAAAATTTATGAAATTTTCTTTTTTTTAGTACTTTAATATTTTTAATAAATAACTTTTTGTTCCTCTCATTAATTTATTATTAATGATTTCTAACCAATCTCGCATCACACAAGAATCATTTAAATGAAATTAGGTGAATACTTATGCATTCTTAATTAAAATGAAATGACGAAGATAGAATGAATGGCGGATTTAGAAGGATATCAGATAAAGTCTATAAAGCTCATATAGTACCTGACAGCTATCAAAAAAAAATATGCAGAAGCAGCTAAGAGGCATTGTCAATCAGGACTAAGTTGTTCAAAATTGATATCGAGAATCTAGCTTGTAAATCTGTTCACTCTTTAATTACAGTTAATAATTTCAGATATAAGGACATTTTTCTAATTTCAAAGTGCAAAAAGTCAAAAACAAACATTCAAGCAGTTCGTATTAAAGGAGCAATAATCGCCAACATGGCCAATTCCAACGACACCTTGTCGTTTGCGACGCTGAAGAATATCCAAACAAGTTCCGTTTATGAAATTCTCACCGTGTGCACAATGCTTTTCAATTAATTCATTCTTTTTTGTATCGCAAAATAAGTATGAATTCTCATGGATACCAATACGGCTAAAATTTTAAAAACATCAAAATCGAATTGAAATTTAAATTTTAAGTAAACATTACTATCATTAAAAATACATTTATAATTGAAAAACAATTCTATAAAACATTTTGCATTCTTTAAAATTCTAGGAATTAAACAGAGCAAGAAAAGTAACTATAACAGAAGGATTGAAAAAGCATTTAATTAAATAACTGAATGACGTTTCTTGCTTTTTAAATTTAAATTTGCCGCATTAAGGTCAACTATTAGTGCCTTTAAAATTCAGCTACTTATGATAATTGAATTTCGGAATTTATATTAATTAATTTATGATTGTCACAAAAAATATATTCTTTGGAAAATAATTTGGTTGAATCTGTGAAGCAGTCTTCATCAAATAATCAAATAATAATTTTCCGATAAATTCCGCCTCCTATTCCAAAATATTCAATGGATGAAACAAATAAATTTGATAACAACTATGTTGTCATTGACGCATTCATGAGCCCTAACAGTGCCATTTACGTAAATGACAACTTGTATTGGCGAGAAATGAATAAGTGCTTCGAATAATTTACATGAATCCTTTAATCATCTAAATACCAAAACTAACTTATATTGCAGAAAACAGGGAAAAGTAGCGCTCTCTTCTCTTGGTCCTAATAAGGCACATTACTATTTATGACTCGTATAAGTCCCTTTTTCATAAATAATAGTTTATTTGGAGTTATATTGAATGAGAGCATAAAATCTCAACTGTAACAAATCAAAAAATTGTTTGGTAACTTGGAACACAAAAAAAAACAAAGATTTGATAAAAGTAAGCTTACTTATTTGCAGCATCACAGAATAAATGTTCATGTCGTTCATTTTTGAGGCATTTCTGTCCGGCACTTAATAATTTACATTGATCACACTGACTACTGATTTTGCAGATGGTAACAGCCCACGCTAAGCCTGCAAATTTCAAGAGAGATAAAAGATTATTTTAGAGATCAAAACTAATTTTTTTTAAACTTTCATATAAGAAAAGAAAGAAATAAATCTTTCGCAAAACAGATTAACAAAAGTTATGATATTTCAAGGCACAATAAGAGCAGTATTCAGATTGAAAGGTTAGGTCATAGCTATCGTTTTTAATCTTTGACTTGATTCCGAGAATAGAGTTTGTAGTTTTAAAAGAAGAATGGCATCTCTCACTGATACATAAAATTCATATTTAAACAATGAATTAACAAACTGTGACATTAAATTACCTGAGCAAACTAGTAGAATTGATGCCCTAAGGAGCATTATAACAGCAACAGTAGTCCAACAATACACCTTATTCACAGAGTTATCTATGAAGATTAAATTTAAATTGCGCAAAAATGGATTATTTTTCTACGATGTGCTACTTGAAAAGAAGGCAGAAGGAAAGTTAAGTAGCACAAGCTGGAGATTGCTATAATTAGGGACTTGTCACTGACCAACAAGTTTGTGTCATCCACTGAATGACCGTATGTATTAGACCAAAGAAAACAGAGAGATTTATATGTCAGGAGTGGACTTTAGATCTTTTAAGTTATTGGTTAGCAAGTCTGTATTCTGCACCGAAAAGGCGCAACTACCTGTTCTCCAACTTCTTTCTTGCCTCCTCTCTCTTCATTTACTGCATGCTGTTTTTAAGGAAACCATCTGAATATTACACTGAATTGCTATTCAAATCTTATCTTCCATCACTTCTAAAAACAGAAATAAACAAAACTTATCCTATTCTACTTTGTCCCTAATTTTAGCATTTCCTGCCTATACAATACTTTTTAAATATTAGATAATTGGCCACAGGAAATTTCCCATTACCTTCTTAAAATGAGAAATTTGTTTAGAAATCTGAGAAGAGCTTCGAATTACAACAGAATTACGATAAAATAGATATAACAATGAAAAAAAGATTATGTGATTGTATTTTGAAGGAACTTTTTGCTCATTAATATTTGGTAAGAAAAGCGCAGCCAACTTTTAGTACTTGCAAAAGTATTGAGGGATGTAAAAAATTTTTAATACAATAAATAAGTTGATCTGCAAAATTTCTGAAGATTTTTAATCCTTTTTCTGTTCATCAAAAGGTCTACTAGAAATCAATTTAACTTGGCTTTGTTAAATCCACTCCATCATCTCAGCTAACGATTGGTAGTGGAAAAATTAGAAGATATCGGATAGTTTTACGCTTGCCAATGCCACAAATCTAATGATGAAGGAACAAGATGAAATCTAAGTTCAGGAAAATATTTGATTAGCAAATATTTACTTACGAAAATGATGCCTAAGGAAATCACTCTCCAACGAAGTATTTACCTCTTTGCTAAACAAATTACTATGACCGAATACCAATATCAACCGCTATGTATGATAACCAGAACTAGCTGTTTTCAACATATGACACAATATATCTGAAAATAGTGGTATTAATCTTTTTCTTTTTGAAAATAATTCATTACATGGCATATCGCTTTGATAATAGAAACATTTTCTAATCTAATTATTTTTCCCTGTAGCTTCGATAATAGGAACGCAACATGTCAGAAAAATGCTTGCTTATATATCACTTCAATGATTTGATACTAATAAAAGTGTATAACAGAAAAGCATTCTTAATGCAATCAAAATCTCTCATCATTTTAACCGTGAAAGATAGGAACAATACAAAACAGCAATATCGATTTTCGGATATGAATGAGTAAATAATGATAGTCAAACGAATCACTTTGATTAGATATATTGAACACATATTTCCATGTCTGCAGTACTTATTGAATAATTATCAATGTTATCATCAGAAAAAGAGAAAAGATTTGCCATGAAAATGATAATATTGAATTAGAAATGTTTTTCCGTTCATCACTTAAATATTAGAAAAAGCCATTTGGAGATGCCATTTAATTAGTTCGCATTCCGTTAAAGACAATTCGATTTACTTCATAAATGGCAGACTGAAAGACACCTGTTATGTCGGATTTTTCTTATTTTTTGCAGTAATGCTTACGCATCTATGATTACCTGAATAATATTTAGTTTCAATTTCCATAGACGACAATATTCTTTATAAGCAGTTTCATATAAGTTCAAATCAAATCCTCATATCATTCACATCACCTAATGAAAAAGTCCCGATGAAAAATTCGGAATATCTCCTGCCAACTATGTGAAAACAAAATCTTCAAAAGTCTTTTTATTAATAAGAAACACTGCCACAAGTCAAAACCAAACTAAAGATAAAAAATATTGAGACAACTGTTGCATATATTTCATACAAATTCATCCAACCGAAAAGACCGAATCCTCCATTTTCAAAAATCTTCAATGTCTCTGCTACAGAAGTAAGCAGTAGGAACTGAAGCAGAAAATCTTAAATTAATCTGAAATGGCGGAAATTATTAAAGAATTTCATGATAAGCATTTCTTTTTGTAAACAGTCAAATTTTAGCGTGGAAGATCACAGGAATAAGTAGAGAGCAGCAAAGCTTCCGAGACTCAAGCACTACAGGAAGTCAGTATTTATCATATTCGTTGTCTGACCATTTATCATTTAATTTCTATTATCTGTAGATACTTGACTCTTCTTAAATCCACTGCAATTTTCATTGATAGTAACTGTCTAGCCATTCCTGTTTAAATAAAATAAACAAATTGTTCAGCAGATTGTTTCAAATTGTTTAAAGAATCTCTACTTGAAACCTTTCGCCTACTACTATTGTTTAAACCAGCCAACCAGTATAAAATCAATGAAACATTCTGAAAAAAAAAATATTTCTACATTAATTAACATAAGGAAATCACCTCACTTGAGTATCGTAAAATATGAAGGAATCGAGAAAATTCGCACGCAGTTGCCGAACAAAGTTGAAAATTTTTAAAATGAAACAAGTAGTTATTATACCGATCATACGGCCGATTAGAATTACTAACAACAGGCGAATTATAGTTTTCTAATATGACTATAACACATTTCTTAAAACCTCTGGTACCAAAAACTTTAACTGCATCGAAACATAGAGTATTGAATGAAATTCTTTGATTTACAATAGTGACAATCAAAATTTTCAGAGTATTTAACGAGAACGTTTTATTCTTGCTACAAACGGTCCGTAATACTTCGACAGTAACTTTTCGCAGAGGAATTGCTATAGCTTATGGGATTTCAATACAGCTGTAAATAATAGCTTCGTGTATCAGATGAAAGTACACAGAAATTCGATTTATCCATCACTTCGACATTCTGAAATCGAAATACCTCGACGTTATTTATTATTATAAAATTTCATTGGAAAATTTTTTCTTTACGTATCTTTAGCTTGCTGTATTTTTGATCGTTTCATCCAGCAGTGATCTAGAAAAAGTTAACAGTTGACAACCGTTTCAGAAATCTAATTTTCAGAGAAAAAAGAAAAATCCTTGAGCATTATGTCCACTACATCTCAAAATCGCAGAAAAATTAATGTTATATGACAGAATCATAAAACCTTCTCAGTCTATTAGTGCCATGTTCAACCAGTAGCGTAGTTGTACGTCGAAGACTTAATGAAGCTTCCTGAAAGAGAATTACTATAGTCAATCGTTAGCCAACAAGCTGTATTATCAATTCAAAATGTAAGAATTGATAATAAGCCTGTTGGCCGACGAATGGCTGTAGTAATTCTGATATTCAGATTTGAAAAGCTATTATATGGTTCCAATATATCTAATTCCCGATGCCAATTTTATACCGCAATAAGTATACGAACGAAATTTAGTTAAAATAACTAGCCTAGAACACCGGAATCAACATACCTAATATACCATTAAATACCTAGATCCCATATACATTCGATATATCATTAAAAAAAAATGTTTTAAATGAAAAACCTTTTGCTATAACTTCCGATGACTGTTCACTTCCGGATTGATCTTGAACAAATCTAAAATCGAAAGATTTATTTAAATCCACATGCTTTTTTAAATTAATTCATACTTTTTGATTTTAATAAATGAAAAAACTAAGTTCTAAATAAATCTTCCGAAAAAAGTGATATAAATCTAGCAATAGCTATTACAATTTTAAAAAGAAAACTAGCGTTTCGTTTTGAATTCCTTCATCCTCGATTGTGTTTTTCTTTGCCATATCTACGCATGGTTTCGAACTAATTTTATCATTTCCCGTATATTTCTCTAATTCCTTCATCATTAGTGCTGGTCCTAAAGATAAAATACCGTTATGTTAACACATTTCTTTTACTGTCATACTTCTATATCGACAATTAATCTCATGATTGAACCGAATAGAAACTTGATTCCTACTATATAATGTCAAAATTTTGATTCCTATATCATATTACTGCCAATATTTTTCCAAACTGATTGAATTTCAAGTTTTAATCAAAATTTAATATAAGAAACGGACTATTCTTCTGTCGTGTACTTCGTGATGATTGCTCATTCCGACTCCTTTGTACCTCATCGATCAGTGCCATAACGCCGATCCGTTTCGTTTTATCTGCGTAAGCTTTGGTTTTAACTAGTAGCCTCGGCGGTGTCGCAATATTATTAACATTATTATTTAATTTTTCAGAGCCTAAGAGAAAGAACTAATATTAGATATTTTGAAAATCTGGAAACATAAAATTTGGATGGAAAACTAAAGCAACAAATTTGATTCATTGCAAATTCATAAAATAAATGAAAATTTGACTTATGATTGCTCTTCTACATCGCTTCTGCTCAGACACTATCGTTTTTTGAGTAAAAAAGAAAGCATTTTCCACTGCTCAGAAGCACAATGGAATATACTGTAAAATTTTTCGCACTTCACTGCAATCTCATTACGTTTCATCGTGCGATAGAGCCAATATTGTAGTGATTCTATGAAATCGAACAAAATTGCGGTATCTCATTTAGGAAGCCCACTAAGTCAACTTCTATAGAATTTAGAATGAAAAATTGAAGATATAACCTTTTCGGCAGAGGTAAGCATGCTGCTGCTCTTGACGGAGGGAAGGATAGAGTTCCTCTCGTCGATCACCTTTTCCTTTTTCTTCTAATTGTGATCCGTTCACAAATTGTCTTTTGAAACGCTTATATGTTATTCCTCGATTACTATATCTTTTATCTTCACTGTAACCTCGTGATGATAAACTCCAAGTTGACTGAGAATGAGAAAATGTTGAGTAATAACCACCGGACTGATTCATCGATTGTCTCATTGTGGGACCACCACGTACCACGCCACTATATCGCGATGAATTTTGATTTGATCGTCCTTGGTACTATAAAACATTGGAAATAAGAAATCCGTAAAATATATTAATTTAATTTTCATTATATTTCTGCAATATTTTCAAACTGCTAATAGAAAATCAGCTTAGAGATCGACCATTTTGCTGAAAAATCGAATTTGAAATATGTTAAGTGTGACTTTTTGCTTCATGAAATCTTCATACCGGAATCCCATGGACTCATTTACCTGGATCCGTCTTCATGCCAAAATTCCGCTTTACTTACCATCAAAAATAATAGTAGAATGTACAAGCAGCAACTCCCGCTTAAAAGTCGATTTCATAAATACAAACTATCATTTTCAAAATTTAAGAAACTAGAGAATCTAATCAACAAAAGAATTTACTAGATAAATTAGAGCTTTATAAATTAAATTTTACCCTTCTTGAAAAAACTTCACGTGTATTCGAATGTGCATAGTGATGATGCAGTTGTGATGATGAATATCGTGGATTTTCCCAAACAGTACTATTACGTGCTAGAATATTTAAAATATATTGCTGTATAACAGTCAACGACAAGGAAAAGAAAATTGCAAAATTCCAAGAAAATTTAAAAAATTAGCCAATTTTACTTCTTGCTGGTTGACGCTCTGTTCGATAATCATATGTATCATAATCATACGTATCATAATCATATGCATCATAATCATACGTATCATAATCATATGTATCGTCGTTACTGCCATTGCTTTCATACAGTAATCTAGAAGAGATTATTTAACATAAGTTGAAAACATGATCAAAATCTAATCAGTTTCTAGTAAAACTTTAAACTGTCACCGATTTTGATTAGAATTTTGTGCAGGGTTGCTGTCTGAAATTGAATACGACAGATTGGTGTCACGATTGCTAGATAAGATTGATAAGCCTGATGAAGCTTCTCTTGATTCTGGAAACAACTGATTAAGCAAAAAACTTTTCATAAAATTCAACAATATGGAGAGCCACTTATAGCAGAATAAGAAAATAAAAAAGTTAAGTTAGCAAAAATAAAAAAAGTTAGCAAAAAGTGTAGACAAGGAAATGTGACATAGAATCACACACTCAAAATAGCCAAACTAATTGCTCATGTAGTCCAAACAAAAGTCATCAGTAGAAAATTTTATAGCCTAAATTAGAAGTTACTATAATAATATACACAACATAATCTAAAATATCTCTAACGTGGCAACTAATTTAAGCTCCAAGCTGTTATAAATGATCTGTGAATCATAAGAAAGAGAAAGTAAACTAAGTGAAAAAAATCAGCAACTTCTTGCTGACAAATCTTGCAGAATATCTTTGGCTGTATTGGTGCCAATTTCACGATGGTATTCTCGAATGCAATTCTGAAACTTTGGATTTTTCTAATTCCTTTCATAACATGCCTTCAGAATTTCATAGTCATATTATTCTGTTATTATTAGAGATTGCTGATGTAACAAAGAGGGTCTCAAGGAGTTATTTGAAGTCTCGTAACTAACCGAAACGTCAATTATCAAGTTAAGCTTAGTTATTTTGTGCTTTTACCAATACTTTTTATTATCAACTGAACCAGTAGCAAGTTGGTAGTGTCTAGGCGTGCAAAAAATCATAGATGAAACCTCGTTTTTGAATGAAGATTTCAATGGAAGATTCTTTTTTGTTTGCCAAGTCTTTTCTGGTGAACTGGCCATCGAGCTTTGAGCGAACTCTATAGGGAAAATATTGAAAATATAAACAATTAACAATATGCTGGTGTCTTTGTCAGACCAGTTGCCCTTAATTTTAAAATGTAAACTCCTTTTCTATGAGCTCATAAACTTAATAACAATATCAGCGGATTGAGATTCATTTAGATTACCTGTTAATACGGGACTTAGAATCACTGTGTAACTCAGATAAGCATAATTACCTGCCGAGCTCGCGGATGTTTCTGAAATAATCTTTTTCTCCCATAGTCGAGGTATCTGCCATTCAGTTGATTTTAGTTTTGCACCGGATGACTGAAACCACTGTGGCGGACTATTCTGAAGCATTGCAGCGGCTACTGCTACTGTTGCGGAGCCTGAAAATACTGATTTAATCAAATACTGGTTTCAAGTCACATAAATGCATCGCTTTTCTTTTATTAGGTTCTGCTGTCACTGATAAATTACCTTGATCATTGATTAATGCGTCGATAACATCAGCTCCAGAACTCATCAAACCCTGCGATTGGGGTACAAACGACCGCGTACACATCGATGATTTTTTGCACGAACATTTCGATCCCGACATATTTACCGAAGTAGTGTTGCTTGTTAAATCATAATTAGCATTGCTAGCAATTACATCAAAATTGTGCTCTTTCGAATGTCCATCAAAGCTCTGACCGGCAAATGCTTTGCCAATATTTGGAATATATTCCACCTGTAAGAAACCTGGACATAAAAGTACGGAAAGAATGTGTAATAGGACAAGAAAATTAATGATCCCAAGCACTAAAATGAACGGAAATGCAAGGCAAGCAGGAATATGTTCATCATTTCTTCTCGTCTATAGCAACGATCTGGAATCACCTAGGTGTATAACTTGAAGCAAGAACAGACATCACACGCGATACTTCGGATATTAGCATTTGAAGAACAACCACTCACAACAGTAGAAATAACGTGCTAATAGGACCGGGTAACATACAGCTGGAATGGAGTTAATTCACGAATTTCAAATGCCTACCAACTTCCTTTGCCATTGTGACGTCAAAAGTTAGAATAAAAAAAAGGACAATGTGTTTACAGTTTCTAAAAATTAAAAAAAAATCTTTTTTTAATCAAAATGATCACTGAGTGTGATAATTGAAACTGAAAGTCCTTTTTGGGGTTCAGTCACATCGTTTCCACAAAATTAACCGCTTGAATAACTGAGCAACATATCTGTTTTTTTTTTTTTTTTTTTTAAATCTATAGAATATTAAATTGTACACTTTCTATTAATAATTTCTGAAATACTTTCAAATCGAAATTGAGAGATCAAAACCTTTTGCGGGACAGCTACTCCAGTTAATGGCTTTCCAGAATCGTCAATTGGAATTATCACGATACCTTTATTTTCATTCTGTCTAAATAAATCCAAGAATTGTGGTACAGACATATTTACTTCATCTGAAGCTCTCTGTTCCTGTAATATACTTATCATTTCAACATGCACTTCAAATGACTCTGCGGTTCCCTTTCGATATCATTATTTTTCACATATCCTATACTTTTGACTCCTATATTTCAAAAAGGAAGATTTTAAATTTTTTGCTTTCACGATTACTGAGAAAGCAAAAAAAATTTTTTTGATGGAAGAAATTTTTTGGTGAAAGAAATTTGATGGAAGAAAAAAATACTAATTGTTTCCTCGGAACAGTAACTGTAGTTAAAGTGTTATGTGTAGTGATAACTAAAGTTGCTAACTTTTGTTACAATCGATGACGGCGAGGCTGTAAAATTTACAGTTTCTTCTTCGGTTTCTTCTTGGTCTGTAATTTTAAAATGTGGATAAGTAATCTTGAAGTTTTACCGCAAATTAACGCAGTAAGATTTCAAAAAAACCAATAAAACGTAAACTCAAATTTTCTTAACACATCCTCAACTCCACAACCTTAACAGAGACAGTTATAAAAGAGACTGCAATAGTTACTACTAAAATTATATACCCCAACTTTTTAAAAGAATTTTTTATTACTACTTTTACCTGTGTAGTATTTGTTTTAGGTACCTTGAATAATAATAGGATGGTTTAATAAAAGGCTTATGCCCAAAAATGCTCATGAGAAAATTTTAATCTCACGACGCTGTTAATTTAAAAACAAACATCATACAAAAATTAAGTACGAACAAAGGTAGCAATATCACTCATTTCTATTCAAAAAGTTAGACCTATCAGAATATGAATTTAAATTTTCTAAAACTTAATAAGATGGGAACTATTTCAGGAAACATTCAACTATAATAGTCTAATTCTTAACTGCGGAAACTTTTACGAACATTAAGAACAGATTAACAACGCAGGATAACTTTTTTTTAAGTATAACCAGTCAACTTCTAAAAAATTTTCATTAAATAACTGAAGCCAAATTATAAACATCTTTAAAGCATATTTACTTGCTGAACTGCTATTGACTGTTACTGCGATTGGCATATTCTCATTCTCAGATGGTTGTAATACCTCCTGACAAACACGCATTTGCGGTAACAACGCAGCAACATCATTTATTATAGTTGATGAAATAAGAGGCACTGGCGGAAATGCTGAAAAAAAAATATATTAAAAGTATGCAATTAAACTAAGTTTTTGAAATTAAATTAAAGTTTGATTGGGAAAACGGACAAGTACAGGGCTAATCAAGTCGAAAAAACTCATCAGCAAAGATATTTTTGATCTTGCTCATTGTAATCATGAAAAATATAATGATGCCTGAAGGTAATAAATTTTTGAGGAAATGAAATCAAGCAAGAAGATTTCATCTACAGCTGAGCTTACAATTTGATTGTATATTTTGGTTCAACTGGGAATAAAGTAACGATGAAGCCTTTGCTAGCGAGTTAATTGAACTCTGAAAAAAAAACGAATGAATTTCCTGCAGTTACAAAATGCCCAGTAAAAATTTGTGCAAGTTCAACAACTAAAATCTTCTACCACTTCTCGTAATTAAATGCACTTTTAGACAAGCAAATATCACCCTCCTCAATTGAGATTGGCAGCTGAAACATGTGATCAACTTTCCTTATATTCCAATCAACTTTCGCAGATCTTGTTGCCCACCTGGCTCATTTTTCTATAATTTGAAAACTTACCTCAGATATGATCTGATTATTTTTAGCAATTAGTGCTCTGAAATCATTCTTAAAGAAATCGAAATCTTTTGTTACGATCAACGGCTCATTCTCCAAAATACCATTCCGAAGAAGTTGATGTCGCACTGCATAAACATTAGTAAGATTGTATTCGCCACTCTCTATTGTCACCATATTCTGCAAATCAGAAGATTTAACTTGAATTAACAAGAACTGATGCTCCCTAATAGTTAGTAGTAATCGATAATAGGGAATTGTGCCATCTATTTTCATCCCTACTCTTTCTCCATTTTAGACATCTGAGTGGGCTTTTTAAAATTTTAACAATTTTTTCGAGATATTGAACAAAAGCCGTATTTTTTCCTGTCTCTTAATAACGCACAATAAGATATGAACGCAAATAATCGGATAATGAATAAACATTGAAATTTGAGACTTCCTGAATCTCATTAAACATACCCGTAAAGTATCGTTCGTAGTTAATTGTTCGCCTTCTAAGCGACTTTTTTTCATCATTATTGTTACATTATGTTCTGTATCACGCAAGAATATCTCTCGATTTGATGCATCAACCGGACAAAGTAAATCATCATTCTCTACATCGAAAATTAAACGTACAGGAAGAAGACCCTGGAGCAATGTTTCATTTTTTGCTCTTGCTCAAAAATAGTTTTTAGGATTATAGTCCTATCATGTGTCAATTCTATTTTCTATTCAAATAATATTTTCCGAGTATCAACTAAAAAGAAACTAATTTATTTGAAATTAAAAATGGAAAATATTTTATGTAAAATTGAAAAAAAAAAGTAAATAAGAGTAGCGAACCTGAATATATTTCCTCGCTCTCATAATAGCATGCACAGAACCATAAAGATAAAATATGGTTGCTCCAAAATGACGGTCTGCTATAGTTGGAAAATAAATGATTGCATTTGTTTCCAAACTTATCATACGTATCAAATATCCATGTGGTATTCCCGTAACAGCTAGCTGTTGTACAGCCGGTATATCTAATACCGTTGAATATATCATTGCTGATTTCTAAAAAACATGTTACAGCTTGTTTACTTTTTTGAATTCACTTTTTGAATTTATTATGAAGATATCTTCATAATTCAATTTTGTTCAACCTACACTTTCAACCCACTTATCAGAGTCTCCAGAATCAGAAAAATTTACATGTTCATTGTCGTTTACAGCATCAAACAGCAATTGATGAAGAGCTGTACAGGCTTCACATATATCACGTTCATGAGATGGTGTACCGCGCACAACACATGATGGAACTGGATCCTTTGGCTAGGAAATAAATATTAAGTGTTTTCCAACCATTTAATCAGTAAAGAGCAAGGAATGTGCGTTGAAGTACGATTGTGCATTGTGCATTTCCGAAATTTTGTTGGGATTTAAAATTTGAAGTCCAGAAAAAATGCATGAACACTTCAATCTGCTTATTTGTTCTGGTTTCATTTCTTCTTTGAACTATTATTTTTTATACGAGGAACAACAACTTTATTATGCCAAAATCCCAAATTATACCTGTTCTTCATCATATGGTGATCGAAAAAGTAGGTGGAACAAGTAAGCTCTAGAAGAGTATAAACTCACTAACTGTGGAAGTTGCACCATTATTTCGAGGTTAGGAAAATTAATTAATTTTTCGGCAATTGCTTTGTCGATAACATTTTTCACATCCTTCATTGATATGTGAGGTTTCAATGTCCTTAGAGGAAAACTGATCGCTACAGGCGTAAAATTCTGAAAGATATTATAATTTGATAAAAAATTTTGCACAACATCAAACGATATAACTATCATAATCAGAACAGAGAATTTCTCCTGTCATTTGGGAACTTCCAATTGAAAAAGTGTATATCAACGTATCAGGAAAAAAATCAGAAAGCTTATCATACTCTAATTCGAATCCTGGCTTGTTCAACATTTGCTAGCGGCCCTGTTAGCGTTACCTGCAGTAAGCTAAATAAACTTTTGCGCTTTAAAATTAAAAAAAATTCTTTTCTGAGAAAAATTAGGATAAGAAAGTACTGCAAATTCTTCAATTACTAGGAATTTAAAAATATGTCGTAAGATTGTGGAAATTGCTAAGCTTTAGGGTAGAATTGAAATAATGTGGATAAAGTTCAGTGTAAAGTTTTAAGCCCTCATAGCTTTTGATTTCTACTGAAGCAGTCCATAATAAAACTTACTCTATTTACATAATCACCAGCATTTTTGACATCAGGTACTAAATCCGGGAATTGAATGAGTACACCAGTGTCTTGCATAATTTGTGGTATTGAATCTAGATCACACCAAGCTTCCATTCGCTCCATCATGCCAGCATGTTCGGAATTTGGTACTTCAATCGTTAATGTAACATTTTTCGACAACGGGATCTTTAAAAGTAACATGGATTTTGAGAATTGAGAGTCATTTCTACAAAGTGAAAGCACCACTGATGCTAAATCTCAACATAAAATTCGCTTTTGATTATGGGCATTATGTAGTGAGCCAGAATCAAAAAGTTATAACACTAAATTAATAGATAATGTTTTGGAACTTCCTTTACAAATTTCAACGCTTTAACTTATAAAATTAGATCAACTGTTGCAAATTACTGATACAATTATTGATTGCCATATAAACTGCGCCAAAAAATATATCAAATAATTTCTTCTAGTCTGTGTCCAAAATTATAGACTCATTTGGCCTTTCTAAATAAATTTCTGAGATGATTTAAGTGACCAAATATATTGTAAGCAAAACTTCATAATTAGGTAAATTCAATTAATTACATAAATACTGCATTATTCTTGAAGGGAGCAGAGATGAAAATGACGAGATAGTGTTTAACGGGATATCAATTAATATAACATGGTTTTAATATTCTGAGATAATTTTGGACTGATTTCTATCGTATATATTCTGCAATTGAATCCTGAGATGCATACCCGTTCCAAATATTGCATCATTTTTCCATTAGTAACTTTCTGCAAACGATTAGCTTCTGATTTACGACGTTGTTCATAAGCAAGTTCTACTCGTTGTTTCATTGCATCGAACATCTAAAACTCCAATTTAAAAGGTAATGTAAAGCAAATTACATTTAATAATTTCAAGTCATCTAATTCACCCACCAAATCTAGTTTCATTTTTTGGCTCTTGGCAATATTGACCGTTTAAACCTAGCCAGATTAACATTCAATGATTTGATAATACCCTTCCTAATTCACCGCATTTCAACCAGCTTGTTATAAGCTACCAAAAACTAATTAAATGTAACAAATGGATAAATTTGCAAAGATCTTTGAAGGGAAATTTCAAATTTTAAATATCTAACAAATAATGGCCAAAAGTTTGTAGCCTACAGTATCTACAAGATTCATTTTCTGCACTTTGTGCTCGAATCAAATGAAATTTCGACCTTATTTCTGTAAAAACTTTGTTTTATGTCCTTCCTTCACCGATCCGGACTGAAATAAATTTTTTGTTTTCTTCTCTTTTCGAAGTTTCATTAAATTTAAAAACTCACCTTCACACTTTCTTGTGAACGATGATAAAAACTGACGAAAAATTCGCCGCGTTGTTGCCAATACATATCCTGGTGCGGGAAATGAATATTTGGACATCTGGGATTTGCTCGCGGTGTAAAGCCACCGCGAAGAGCCCAATGGCCCGCGATCGACATACTCCCTGATGGAGCACACTCACACATCCAATTCAAATTACTCGCTTGATGCGTCAGCTCCTTCAGAACTAAAACTGAAATTTAGCAGAAAAAGTGAGTAATCAGATACAATTGGCCTAAAATATGACGAATTCCTCGATTATTTTTATCGTATTATTCTCAAAAAGGAATCCTTCCTCTTTATAATTTGCAGTTTCAGAAACAAAAACAGGAAGAATGAGAATTTGCCTAATAATGTTGGCTCTACAAAAATGATCCAAATTGACATAAGCCAGAGTTCCTCTTACTTGCTATAATAAAGCACAGAAGTTTTTTAAAGCCATCATCGAATTTTGAAATTAGTTTAAATTTTGAAATCACATCGAATAGATCGTGTTCATTGAACGCCTGACTAAGCAGACAGATCAGAAGAAAATGAAAAAAAGTTAGCTACGAGTTCTTCATATGATATCCACATAAGGCTTGTTTGATGTCCGTATTTACATCTAAGATAAGCTGCGCTGAATTGCAGCTGATAAAAGCAAAAAAATCTATTATTTCCTCATGAAATCATGAGAATGCTGTAATTATAAGAACGCTACCATTGACAGCCTATAGATTCATGACGTTTAAACCCCGACTTTTATTTCAATTATTCGCAAATAGGCAAAAAATGTAAAAAGAAAACGTATTTTGCGCATAACATTTAAATGACCGAAACGTCATGTATTCGCACACAGAAGATAGTAAATAAATAAAATGAACATGTTTTACAGTAATTTTTAAAAGCAATTTTATTCAAATGTAAGCCTTGATAGTGCAGCAAAATGAACAGCAAAATGTTTTAATTTTATGTCTAATGACGAATCATGAACACTGCGCTAACCATTTCCACTCTTTCAAATAATTGTTGGGAATTATTATTTATTACGATATTTGCAGAAATCCTAAAATATTTGAAACCTTTGCCTTGAATGTGACTAAATGTTCGATATTAAAGGTTGTCTCCTGCTTTAATCACCTTGCCCAATGTTTAATTCCGATTTTATTCAGTATAATTCATTTCAGATCGACTTTGTCCTTTTTATCTCATTTCATTTCGATTGATTTCATTTATTTTCGCCCTGTTCAATTCACTCTCACAATTACTTTCCTAGAGAATCAATCAACAATGAATCATCCCATTCTGATAATACTTTTTCAAAGCGCTTAGTCCCTACCTCGTTCTCTTATTTCCACACCGTTCTTCTCGCACTTAACCATCGTAATTTTATACGAAACCCGACCCGACCCAACTCGCCACTAATTCCTGCATCCCCCAATTCGCCTCTTCCGCGCCCGCTAAACCGTCCTCCCTCTCCTCCCTCGCTCTAATTTAGGTTTCCGAACACGCCCGCACCCCTATTTCACGAAGAATATGTGCAAATTGTGGAGACCAATGACGTGTTTTGCGTTGAAGCTCTTCAAGAAGGAATTATCCGAAAACGATCTCTCGGTAGTTCCCCCGGCATCTCTCTTTCTCTTACTGTTCTCACTACTATATTGTATAGGAATTTTAATTCATATGAAATGTTGCATTCAAAATAACACGCGTTAACTCCAATTTCCTTCAAAATTTGTATTATGTTTAAGATAGTATATAATAATGAACACGCATAGATTATCAGTTTATTCGCTTTTGTCGAGCCTTTCAGAGATAGCTTTTCCTTTCATCATCTGCATTTATTTGGAACTTCCGGGATTTTTCATCACCCAGCCTCTTTCACTCCTCCAATTTCACTTTTCATCACATATAAATTTATTACACTATATAATTTAAAATATTTGAATTATTTTATCACGCATCTTATTTCATAAAAAATATCACCGGCTAATCTGCCCACTACAATGAATGACTCATCCTGTCACCTTCCTCCTTTTCTTCATTCTATCTTTCCTAATTTTCCAAAACTCGATCTTACCGGTGAAAAATTAAACGAAGAAGGAACAATGAACCAACCCTGTGATATCAAATAGATTCGTTAGAGTGACATCCCGAATAGACCGCTCAGAATTGTCGATAATAAAATTGTGATCAACTGCAAACACCTCCACCACATACCTTCTCATAATTTGCATATTGGCTAAGTAAGCTCATAATGCTATGTGCACTCGCTTGTCTTTCAAGCCTGATTAGAACGGAGCTCAGTTGATGTCGAATCACACGATATAATTTTCTTTACTAAGCAAATTTGAGCACATTAACTGATCTTTCATGTATTTTATTTGTCATAGCGAAACTATCTGGAACTGCAGTAGAATTTGTAAAGATTTACCTTTATGGGTGACTTGAAAAGTAATAATATTCAATTTGCTTTTACAGATTTTCTTTATTCAATGAACTTATACAGTTTCAACAATTTCAAGTCATTTTGAATTTTGAAATTTACTTTATGGTCAGCTTTTTTATCTTTTTCTAAAAAATTGCAAAATTCGAAATTTCAAATTCTTATACAATAATAATAGTAATTGTTGTAAGTAGGATTTTTTTAGGAAAATGTAATTTCCAAACTTAAGATCATTGGCAGGTCCGAATATAATTGGATCTGTCTTGAGTTAAGTTTTAATTTTTAATTACTCCATTTGATAATCATCATTAGAACTGGCGGGATTGTCATTTATTTCATATTTGGCTAACTGTGTTTCCAAATATTCAATTCTTGCCAATAATTTCGATTTCGTGCTATTGAATTCTGCGGCAAATCGAGCCATTCTATGAAAAATTCTTACATTATCGATTGATTCATACAAATTTTTTCATATTTTTATTGTTATCTTCCCATATTTTGCCGTACTTTTTATAGTTATTATTTCTCGTTTTGTTCTTTTACCACTAAAATGCCCACTGAATGACTAATTTTCTTGATTTAAAATATAATTTAAACGAAAAATTTTTTAAAATATCCATAATGAATACTTTGTTTGCATAATTTTCAATGTATTTTGCAAACTTTTGGCCATCTCTTCAGCAGTCATTTGTTCTTCTGGTGCATCTTCATCCAATAGACCGTCTTTTCGAAGAATTTCTCGACCCTAAATTTCTTCCAATTACATAGAAATTAACCCAGACAAGCATCTGAACTTTACGGTCATCCATCTTTAGCAATGACAAATCTGTAGCTGAATGTGGTGGTTATACATGGATATCTTTCTAAAGAAAAATTAAGCTAATAGAATTTCGGAATCGCAATTAACGGAAAAATTAAGATTTCCGGAAACCTTTGCTATGAGTAGCTTCCTTGCATCTGGATACTCCTTTAGTGCGATCCAAAGGTCATTTTTGTTCAAGGCAAACAAATCCGTGTAACCAACCGATCGTACATTTGCTGTTCTCCGATTACCATTTTTACTTCCTGAATGAAATTTCAATTCAACTACTCTTTTCCATTTATTCTTTCAGTACTATTTTAAACTGGCCGCACTAACTTAAAAACTAAGTCGTATATTCCATGTTTTAAAAATAAAATTTAGTTCATAATGAATTTCAGCTAGCAGCCAACTGGCTAATTAGAGAAATAAGAGACTGATTAAAATTTCTTACGTTTCCAGTCGACAACGCATTTGATTTAGGATAATAATAAAATTAGTAATAATAATAAAACTGTTATTGTATCTAACCAGCGATGTTAAGTATACTAAGTTCGCCAAAAACAGCGCCTTCCTGTAGTGTAGCAAAGATTTTGATCCCATCATCGGCTACCACTTGTAATTTACCGCGCTTGACAATATACATTTCACGTCCGATATCACCCTTCTTGCATATGTAATCACCAGGAGAAAATATCTAAAATTATCAATCCTATTGTCAATGTGTTCTTTTTTGATTTATACAATTTTTACTTTAATCTGTTTGATCTTTACATTTAGAATTTGTTTGACCACTTTCTTCAAAGCATTTTCAAAAATTTCAGAACTAAGAAATCAGATGAAATCACGAGGATACCTGCTGTTGAAGTTTCAATACTAGTTCAGCTAAAAGACCAGCTTCACAATCCTAAAATTTAATAATCTCCTTACCATCAATTGAAAATCTATTTATTTTATCATTTATCAGAACTATTTAGTAGATTAAATTTTTTGAATCCGGAAGATTTCTATATTCAAAAATCATTAATGAAAATTTGCTAGAGTGAACAAACAGTAAAATATCATCTTTACCTGAAAAATGCGTACTCTTCTGAGAGTTTCATAATGCACTTGCATAGCAATTTCCGTTTGTAATTTATCCGGAAGTACTTTCAGTACACGCTGATCGCTTAAGGATTGTTTATTCTCCCATAAATAATCAAACCATTTTATAACTCGCATTTCAAGCTGAAAAGTTGATTTTTCATTTGATATAATCGAGTTTGTACGATTTTTCAACCTTTTTCAACATTTTCGAGCCTCTATTTTTGAACTTTTTCGAATCTGTACGATCCAATTCTAACCATGGACATATTCATCATTTCAACCTATTAACCTTAAATGCCTTCCGAAAACTCTGCCTTCATTGCATTGTTAAAATAAGATATTCAACAATCTTACCTGTATAGTTATTCATAACATCAAGTTTTTTCAAGAAGTCAACCAATGAGTGTTTTTACTGTTCAATTGTTTATATTAAAGAATTTAGAGAGGGAGAATTTCTGTAATTAATTACCTCCTTGTTCACTTTTCTCAATTTCATGTATCGTTTAATACCATCCATTTTGTTTTGAAATTTAGTTCGTGCCTCACTCATATTTGATATTGCACTGTAAAAAAAGATGAAAATTACATCGCTGTGCTTCATCTTTAATTGTTACGATTGATTCTTTGAATAATTGTATTCTTTAAATGAATCAAAAGAGAATTTGAGTTTGAAGTAGAAATTCTATTCGAATATCATTCAAGTTCTTAAAGTTCAAAATTTTAATTTTTTAACATCTTATTTAATCATTCTTGAAATAATTGCCGTACCTGCCAACATTACCGACTATAGTTGCAAAAATAAGTACTCCACACATCAAATCCATAATTACAAAAAGAAATTCCATATTCCTTTTTGGACTGGGTACTTCACCAATTGTTGTTAGAATTAGTGTAGACCAATAGAAGCTATAGATATAACGCCTGGCAAGAGTATCTTCCACACCACTAAAAGTAAAATTTATGATAGTCTCTTGGATACTCAATTTTTGATATTATTTATAAGCTCCTAACTATTTTAATAATTAATTTTACAAATCAGTTGTACTTGAGTAACAAATCAATAATTGCATTTCTTTTTTTGTACAATCACAGTTCGAAAACTATAATAATAAGCAAACAAAGAGTTATTTTGATGATTATTGATCATTTTACAAACTGATAAGTCTGTGCAACATTGATTCAATCAAATAATAGATTCTTGAACATAATTACCTTATAATAATTTGTTGTAACTTACTACTATGCTTGCTAGCAATCATACTTAAATACTTACTCAGGCAAACTTTGTTTATTAAGTTGCCCATAAACCCAACCATCAGTACCAAGACCAATTATTTCACTTATGAAGAAATATATACATGCATTCCAATGGATAATTACAACAATATTGGCAATAACGCAGAATATACGAAATGCATTTGGCATCGAACTCCTAAAATTTTACACTTCAATTCTTTTTAGTGCATAAATAATAAAAATAAACATAAAATTTAGAAAAGAAAATTAAAATAAAAATATAATTTAACTGTAGTTTTTAAATGCTTCTAAAGTATGGCATTTGGATTTGACATATTTTGAAATTAAATATAAGATCATTTTATTTGCTTATTTTGATCTGTCTTTTAAAGGGTCATTAATAACAAATAGCTGTTGAGCATGACTGTAATGCAAAAACTATAAACCTGGTCTCGGTGCGGTCAACAAAATCAGAAAAGCGTGGATAACGGATAATACGATTAAAACGCATATTTGGAAATGATCGGCGAAATATGAGCGATAAGATAAGATCAAATGGAAGAACACTGATTATATCCAGTTTAAATTGTAATGATTTCAGATAAAGTTTTGTAATTCGTGAAATATCTCGAACAAGTAATCCTTGTTCCAGAAAACCTCAAATATACTATTTTTTGCATACTTTTCAAATAAATTCATATTTCTTAAAGTTATAAAAGTGCTTTAATCAAAAAATTCTATTTAAAAAATCATTTATTTCAAAGTATCTTTACCTGTCCTGGAATGTACAAACATATCAAGCACGTAAATAATATCCATAACAAAGTCTATTATTAGCCAAGCTATCCAATAATACCCGGAAGCCAAATCTTTGAAAACTGATCGCGCTGGAAAGTAATGAAAAGTAACGGATAAGTATATTTGCAAGAAATAATTTAAAAAAAGAAAACTTTAATGCATTAGAAAATATTCTTCACTTGCTGCAATTTTACAAGTAGTGAGGAAATAGAATAATCGATCGTTGAATTTATACTTCATTAATAATGTAAAAAACAAAAAAAATTTTGTAGGAAAAATTGAAAATGCTAACCGATGACAACAATTAAGTTGTAAGCAAATGCAAATGATACTGCACATAGCCAGTAATAATAAAATTCATCATTTGTATCTAAAACCCATTTCGTTCGCAAATAGTGCCACTTTCCGCATATTCCTTCTGTTGTAGGTTGTTTTGAAGGAAGTGTAGTAGATGTTTCAGAAGCCATAACCGATGATGACTTAGTAACTTGTTTGTGGCCAACTTTTGCAACTGGTGTGGGTCGATTTTCTTCCCTTTCCACGTTACATACTTTATTTGATCGTAATGATTTATATCTCTATAAATATTAACATTAAATTGAATAATCTAAAATCAGCTGCTTACTGAAATTTAAAATTAAGCCACATGAATTGATATAAATTTGGTATTAATACAACAAACTGCAACACTTGCATTTTTTTATTATGAAATTCCATATGAATGTAATAGTAGAAATAGAGTACTAAATTGAATTTCAACTGGCTTTTTAAAATGATTGTATCATTTCTGAAATACCTCTTGAAAATGTACCTTTTGAGATAATACATTTGGAAGATTGTCTCTTCTTTTCAAATGATTGTTAGAAGTATCATCAGAAAGCATCTTATAGTTTTGTTCATTAGCTAACTTCTAAAATATTTCATAATTAATTCTACAAATTCAATTGTACATAAATGATAAATCAATAATCGCATTTCTTTTTTTGTAGTCAGTTTGAAAATTATATTTCAAAAAGCATTGAAATAATGTTATAGATTGTTTCCATTTCAAGTAGAATAGAAATTATAAATATTATTTAACTTTTTTCCAAAGTATATTTTACAAAAGTAAAAAATGAACCTTCAATTATCCAACGTTCAATGAATTTAAAAGATACGATATGTTTCGGAATGCATAATAACTTTAAAGAAACTAGCTGGCTTCAGGAATTAATAGGCTTCTTTGTTTTCTCTTCAGCCAAGCAATTATCAACCTTTATATTTAGTGATAACAGTTCGTAAGAGAAATTCATCTTTCAGCCTATTTTTTGTCGTCATCTCAGCTTTTGAATTTCAGGATCTGAAAAATTGAAAATTTCAATAAAAAAGTCTTAATGTAATGAAATCAAAAAAGTGCTACTCAGATGTTTTTCTTTCTTCTTGAAATTATTTTATTTAGCCATTCCAAATTATTGGAAAATTAGTAAGGAGTTAGTAAGGAGTGAAGTTTAGTGAGGTCTACCTTGTTTGGCTGTCATAGCTTTTGCTTGGATTTTGAGCATATCTTTTAATTTAGGCTCAATCCTATTACTATATAATTATTACCTTATCTATTTATTACTTCTGCTTACTATTAAATTATAATAAATTAGAAATTAGCTATTAATTAGTAGCTTAATTCAAAACTTTTCTTACCTATTTATTATTCGTCAAAAATATAACTTACCTTTTTTCACGCAACAGAAAATATCTTCCGCTGTATATTAATCCACAACTTGAAATAGAATTATTTGAAATATCGGTCTAATTTTTGTAAAAATTAGAATAACTGGAGCTGTCAAAAATAGTGACAATGATCAGAGCTGACACAACTCTTATAATAATGAGTATAATGAGTATACAACAAAATGTGGTGTGTTATTTGAAGATGAAACTCTCATCCTTTAAGTCACCTTGACAACCAGCAAAGTCTCATCCTCTTTTCATTCAACATCATCCGACTTGACTAAATCAAAGTGTAATCTTCATTGATCATCTTCTCTGTTTATTAACTTTTTTTGTAACATTCAAGTAGATTGTGCGCAGACATTATTTTGTGGTATCACATCTACTTTACATTTTGGTCTTTTGACTGATCTTGAAAAGGATCCTAAGTCACTAATTGAAGCTTAAATGCCGAGCTTTAATAGCATCTCTCTGCTTTTCACTGCTTTAAGGAATCAGGAAATCTAATTACCTCATAAATTAATTGTTTATATTGTTCTGTAAAATATTCCAACAGCTATATGCTGACAAAACTTTCTTTATTTACAACATTTGGAACTCAAAACCTTAGGAAATAAGTACAAATTTTACAATGCATATAGCTCTAATAGCTCTAAAACGTTTTTTAATTTTCAAAAGTTTAAATTTTAAAAGGATTATAAATCATAACTAAAAGAACGCGGACAAAAAAATTCTATATGCTATCAGAACAAAAGTAATTTCACAGGATTCAAATTTGATACACTTATAGTTGGCCAGTACAAGAACACATTCCACTATTACATGGTAGGCCAAAGCAAGACAACGTATTTGGTATACATTCTTTCCGGTTACATATCCTTAAGAGAGCATCAAAGATACCTTTTAAGCCAGCGCATTGGAAACCTGAAATTTAGAAAATTATTGAATGAATAATTAATTTGTATATAATAGTTGATAACAAATGATTAAATTATAAAAATGTTGCAAATTGTTCTACACATTTACTGATAAAAAACAGCAAATTTATCTAAAAGCTAAAAACAAAGAACTGACCTTTGTCACAGTCGCAATATTTTTGATTATTGCATGCACCTTTTAAGCCACCGCAATCTGCATCAGTTTTACATGGTGTAAATTGTAGGCATGCACCGCAGTTGCATGTACCAACTGCAATACCCATACACTTTCCTAAGAAGAAATTAAAATTTATCAAAGTTTTTCATAGATTTATGAAAATTCTTCAAGTTGAAAATGCTGCAATTTTTATTGGCAATTTAATTCACTGTTGGATAAAAAAAAAACCAATACTTACTTGTATTATTATTGTAATAAATTTTTGAAATTTATGCTTTTACTTAATTTTATGCTTCAATTTTCTTTGTTTAATTTAAATGGTAAAGAGCATTCCATAGGCTATAAAAATTAAACCGTACCATCGTGACAGTCCGAATCCACTGTACAATTTTTCATTGGTGTGCAAGTGGTTTTAATGGTAGGTTTGCTTCCCTTCTCATCTTTTAGTTCACGTGATATTCGTGTCCAATTATGGAAATCTAAAAATAAGTGTTTATTGCTTCAAAAAATTTTTTTTAGTACTGTAATCAAGCGAAGGTTAAGAAATGATTACTTGACCTTCTTAATTAAATTCCCATTACGACTGCCATAACTTCAACTGAATGCAATTTAAAGTTTTTTTTCAATAATTTAAAAAAATTCATTTTTAATGATGCAAATTTGATGCGGCGAAAGATTATGCAATCTATTTAATTCATTTGCATTATATGATAATGATTATCATAGTATCTAAAATACCTGCAGTAATTATTATACTCTGTAATTATGTATTCATTATCTTTACCTTATCTAAAATATTATATACAATAATATTTTTAATTAATTGAAAATAATGCAATGTTAATAGTACTATTCAAACTGTCAATAAAGTTGTTTTGCTTGTTGCTAATTGATGCTGCACAACTTCGGATTAATAAAATATAAATTAAGCAATGATATGATACACTCTTTAAGAATTGAAAGAATTGAAGGAAAAGGTGGAAATGATAAATTGTACCACTTAAATAATAAATTATGCTATTACTATTTTATAAATTATTTCAAAAGTACCTGAGGTTTCAGAAATAAACGAAAATTCGTTGTCTTTGGATGCATAAGAAGTTACAGCTAGCAGCAACACGGTACCGAGGAATGCAATTATTGTGATACTGAACATTCTTCTTTAAAAAATACTTGTCAAATAGATGTATAAGGCCTGTAATTTCAGTCTTCCGGTAATTAATAACATTAAAGTTTCAGATTATATCGAACAATGTCTTTGCCGGTAAAGATTGTTTCCAGAAATGATATCTAATCCTAATGTCCAAAATTAGTTTTTATATGACAATTAAACTGTTAAATAATTTAATTGTATGAAGGTCCTTCTGTGGATATTTACTTAAAGCTTTTAATTTTATACTCCATATGTTCTGGCATTTCCCGGTAGTTACCAGTAGAGAATACGACATTTACGCCATTTTTTATGAAAAGAAAAATTGAAATTAGTAATTGAATTCGATGAAGCATTCATTCACCTCAAATTCCCATTCTAAATTCATTTCATATTATTAAAATTACTTCAAATTTTGTCTACCGCTTAGAAATGCAATATATTAAGCACAAAGAGGAAGAAAAGCCATTTACAATGGAATGATTAACGATTAACTGTTATAAACTAGTAATTGAGATTTCTCGGCGCAGCCAAATCATGATCTTGCTCTTCCCGAGGCGCCTTTTTACCTAACTTTTCTTGGCGAATAAACCTTTTTAACAAATTATTCGGTTTTTTTATTGATTGTTTCAAACAATAAGCTTTCAGAATTGCTTCCTAAATCTTTGATAAAAAACTTTTTAGCGATTAGTTGACTGCCAAGAAGGTTATCTTTTAAATGACTAATATTATTTCATGCCTATGAAATTATTTCAAATAATAATTTACACAAAATATTATGCATATCATTTAACAATATCAAAACAGTTAAGTCTTCTAAAGTATAGTTAAAGAAAAACTCTCTTTTAAACTTTCCTTTGATAATAATGGGACGAAAAGTATTACGTTAAAAATGAGGAAAGAATGAAATATTTCGATAGATGCATCATTTCAGGATTATTTCCATTCGACATTAACAATGAGAAATCAATTATAACAGCTGGAATCAATGGACTACTTGCTTGCAAAATGAAGGAAAAATTTTATTTAAGATAAAAATTTTCAGCAATGAATTAAATTCAATCATTTTATAAATTTAACATATATTTCAGATATTTCACTTTTATGTGAATTAGATATTTACTTTTATATGAAGTAGTTTAATCACTTTATGTGAATTAGTTTAATCTTAAACCATATTGAATTTATAAACTAAATATAATTCCTTCGGATTTCTTTCTCGTCTTATTCATTTGATGAAAAATTGATACTAGAGAAGGTCATGCGACCCATTCAAATCGTCTATATTATATGACAATGATTACTTTAGTATCTAAAATACCTGTAATAATTATGTATTCTGTAATTATTCTTCACCTTATCTAAAATATTGTATACGATACCAAAACTTTTAATTAAGTGAAGATAATACAATATCAATGGTCTTATTTAAACTATCTAGAAACCGAAATGCAAAGTCAGGAAACCGAAATCCAAGATAGCACTTTACTTCATCGATATACTTGCTTCCTTGTCAATCAGTTCAGCTGAATGAGTCACAATTTTTGCTCCTTTTTTGGATCCTTTATCTGAAATTAAAAATAATGTATTCTTGAGAAGTGGAGAAAGAATTAGACTATAAGAGGCAATGTAGAGATTAACGCCATTGAAAGTTACTATAATCTTGGTTTATTTGGAAAATGGTTAACTTTTCAGTATTTAGAAATGAATTTTAGATTTACCTTACATCCCATTATGTTTGATTCAACGATCAATAACGTAATATGCCACAAAACAGGCCTTACGAAGAAGCAATCCGAATTAAGCTATTTGCTAAAATTAGAATTTAATATATATTGCATAAAATATTCTGCGCAAATACTTCAGTAATAATTAACAAAAGAGGCAACTTATAACATATATGGTGCATTGGTTAACTTCATTTTTAACTATTTGTTAATTACATTGCATTTTATTATTAATTATTTAATTAATTTTTTTTTACAATGAGAAATTTAACTTTCAAATTTCACGCTTGAATGATTTATGAAATGAAATTTAATTGCAATTAGTTACAGAAATAAAATAATCCTACTGTGAAGAGATCAATAACAGTGTTTTATTTTGTATAAAAATTTAATTTATTGTCAGAACAATTTCTGGATCAAATCGAAACCCGCCTTCATCAAGGACACTTGGCGTATTTGTCACTGTAGTAATTACCTGTACATTTAGCAAATTTAAAAAGCATCCGAAGGTGTGAAATGAAACTTCATCCAAATCAAATTTAATTGTTTTTTCGTCGGCACATATACTTCCTTTGCTCTCATAATGTCCGGCTCTGTTCTATTTAACAAAATCAGAATATATAAACATAACTAATCACCGCTAACTACACTTTAACATAAGCCGGACATTGTCTGCCCCAAGTGACCATCATCAACAAGAAACTGCTCATTGAGATACCATCCATTATAAACTGATACTTCTTCAAGAACTTTTTAGGCATAATGACTCTCTTCTTCTATCGGATAATTTAGAAAAATTCATATTAATTTTTGATGATACTCTTTGTGCGGCTTAATTCACGGATGAGCAAACACTTCAAAGATTCAAAGCAGCTCGATCAATTCTTTTTTGATCAATTTCAATAGTTTGCAAATTTCAGAATATAATTGCAATTTAAACAAGAAAACTTCAGTTCTTATTAATCGTAATAAACTTTATCAACAGTATCACTAGAAATGTGATCACTCCTCGGCTTCCACCATAATGGGTTACAGAATAAATAACTTATAACGATAATATATAATGTTTCTACAAAATTCGCATTCCATAATTTTGATTCTTCAATGATCTCTATGTTAATTTCTTTTTTTTAAATATATTCATCTAGCTGATAGCTTTAAACTGAATTTTTAAAAATGATTTGCAACGAACAGACATTCAGTGCTGACTGTATAAATGATCTTAACTTTCAAAAGGTGAATCAAATTACAAGCCAAAAATAATACTTATCTAAATTTGAAATTCAACCAAGGTAAAATGGTATAATCGTGCTTATTTCAAAATGAACTCATTTCTAATTGTCTTATCAAACAACCAATTAAACACTTAATAATATCTAATTTTTCGCAATGCTAACGCTTAGATATACAAAATATAACTTTCTATTATCACTTAAAAAATTTTCCATTATCATTTATCACTTAAAAATAGTGTTAGTTAATTCTTTCATTTTATCTTCCTTAGTATGAATAATGTTAGTAATTCTATGCAACATTTTAATATATCTACCTTTCTTTGTTATGAAAGATAATTTAGTTCCAACCATTGCTTATCTTTAAAATTATCTAATATTAATAAATTCTTATTTAAAAGCTAAAATATTTTAGGGAATATAAATCATTCCTAAAATATCTCAATATCTTATCACATGTTATCATATTTTCCATTTTAACAAAAATAATAACTTTCGCTCTTTTAAAATCATCGTTATAGTTTTTTAGATTAAATGATATATAAAAATTTGTTTCATTGTTTCTTAAATGAATGTTATACGTTGGCTGATACGTTGGTTGAATATTAAGTTTTGTTGCTTAGATTTGGGGTACTTTATAATTAAGGCATTTTTAATAAATTATTTATATTGAAGTAAAAGTATCGAAGATTTTTAGAAAAGCACAATCAATCATTGTAGATAAATTGAGTTTGAATTGAAAAGTTATGGAATGGAATGAAATATTTGTGTAAAGCATCCAAAATGACATTATGGTAGTGTAGCAATCAATGTAACATTGGATAAATTAAGGTAATATTTATCATAGGATTATCGCGATTTATTGCCAAGCAAACTTGATGATCGAGATCGAGAAGTTTTGTCTGATGAAATTATAGGTTGAAGAGATAATTGTTGTTCAGAGGAACTTCCTTCTTCTGACTTCATTTTTTCATTTGAATTGTTGCCATTTCTTGAGTCGGTTCTATCTCGTTTCGCTGTTCCGATCTTACGTGATTCGAGAAAGACCATTATAGCATTCTGCATTGCTTCCTGAATTTGTATAGCTGCTAGAAATGCTAATTCATCAATACTCCGACCTGTTACTGATGAAATGTTAATTGACGAAGGTGGCAGGAATTTACTATCCCGAATACTAATTGGTGGCCGTGTTGGTGGATGGCATGGTTTAGTTCCTGATTTTACGTAAAAATATTTTCGATTTCTACGACTTGTTTGTTGCTTCTCCATTTTTGAAATCCAACCACCAATTTCATAAATTTTCAACAATGCTCCATGTCGACGCCATGGATTTGGACGTGATCGTTCCACATGTTTCTCATATGTTCGGAAATGTCCGAGAATTGGTAATTCGAGAACGTTTTGTGTTCTTTTCCATATAATTTTTGTACCATGAATATGTTGCATTCCTGAGAGCTTTGCTGATTCTACGTATCTTTGACCAATGATATCGTCGTTGAAAAAGAAAGACTGTGAGAGTTGATCTTCTGACGATGATTTCCTCATGCTAGTTTTCTCCATATCAGCGGAATGATCAATCACTTTTTCCTGTGAAGCAGAAACTCCCGTAATTAAATTTTCACCATTTTCATCGGTACCAATTGAGGTGGATTCTGATTCCGATGGAGCTCTTCTTGGCATTTCTTAGAAGCAGTACGCAACCGTTCGTCAGCACGGAATCATAGAAAATAATGTCGTGAGATGTTAACTCTGTCTTTTATAGTTTATTCTAAATATTACATAAGAATTCAATATTAAGAGAGATTTTAATAAAACGGTCATAAGAAGTAAAAGTTTAAGATCACTTTAAAAGTTTATCAAACGAACTGGTAGGAGAAAGGCCAAATGCAAGATTTGGAAAAAAAATTTCAGTGCATAAATACTGAAATGACATTTGACCGTTATAACAATTATTTCTTCAATTACTACTAAAAATTCTGATTATTTAACGGAAAATGCTTATTGCGGTAACGCCATCTTCTATTGATCATGAAAATAATTGTTAATAATAATATTAATAATATAATGTTAAACTTTTTTTTTAATAATGAAGTTTGATGATTATTATTTTATTAAACTTAATCAAAATCTGTGATGTGAACAGATCTGCAATACTATTGCTTCAGATTCTTTCGTCTCCGCAATATTTGGAATATTTCGAGAAATTTTAATTATATACCGTTTCACTTCCATAAGTGTATAATAATGGGAAAGATTTTCGGTATGACCGGTCGTTCACATAAGAATTCGATACTTTAGTATAAGTGCGTTTATTTTAAGATAAGTTTAAAACCAGAAGAGAAAATTCTTATAAATGTAACATAACGATTCTGAAAAAGTAGCAGTAATAGATGATTTAATTACAAATTAAAATGTTATTATCATAATAAAATAATTATAGTGTCTTATTTTGCATTCTCTTCAACAATTTACTGAAATTAAAAAAGTAGAGAATTTTTGAAAATTTAAAACAATGATTATCAAAGTAAAATTTAATTTCTACTTGCAAAGAAAATGTTTGATAACAGTACTGTAATGCAAGTTATTCAAATATTATCATTTTCATTTCGTTGTATTTTCTTTCTTTGATTCCAGCAGAACCAAAAAAAGATGTCAATTAAACATCCTTTAAATTTCTCCTTAATTGTTTCTACTCATTTGAATATTAGAAAAGAATTGAAGAGAATTGATAATTGTCAATTTCATCACGTTGATACAACAAAATTGTATTAATGAAATGAATGAAATCAAACTCAGATGTTCTTTAGTATGTCGTTTTTCAAGATTGTAAAAGAATCAGATTTATTGTTTTATTGATTTGTAAAAAAGTTGTCATTGAAAAATCATAGCAATACGATCATACGCTTTTTAAAGACTGTGTATCTCCCGAGTTTGACATTCCGAGGGTTCTGGAATGTTAGAGAAATAGAAATTCTCATAATTTATGGGATACTTTATCGAAGGAATAAAAATAAGCATAGAATAGAGAAGATGAAGAAGAAGGAAGAAAAATAACTAAAGATCAAATAAGCGATACAGTGGAATATTTGATAAAAACTAAAATATTTGAAAAAGTAAATGGTAAATCTGAAATTATGTAATTACAGGATGAAGAAAATAAAAATTGAAGAAATATAATCAAATTTATTTGATATTTTCTGCAACGTTGATGAAGTAGAATGATATTATATCTATCGTTGGAAGAATCGATCACAGATATTTTAATGGCAATGCATCATTTCCTCCCTCATTCATTCATCATTTTTCTTTCACTTTTTTCATTTTAATTTTTATTTAATTTCTTTCAACTTCTATCTAATAATAAATTTCATTGAAATTATAGGCAAAATATTAGTTCTGTAAGAAATTGAAATATAAATTATAAACGGAAATTGATGGAAACTTTTGAGGCATTTAACTTTTGAGGGAATATGGTAGAGAAGAAGAGAAAAAAGTAATGATTTTAAGACAATAAAAATGGAAGTGAAGAAAGCACTCCTAATTTTTCCCATCATTAATTTTCATATTAATTATAAGTTATTCATAGTTGAATAATTGAGAACACAAATCGATTGACCGATCAATAATTAAGTAAGTAATTAATTGAGTAAGTAATTAGATGAAGTTTTCTTCGAAAGAGAAAGTTCAATCAAATTATTATTGTAAATAAAGAGCTCTCTTTAGCTCAAAACTCAAATTAACCAAAAAGGAAATGTAAAAGCGTCTCATTGACTTTTTCATGCCAAATTATTCACTTATTACTTATGAAAAATAATACAGGCGTCTTTGTCCTATTGCGCATTAATTTTAGCAAATCGTTCATTCGCTTGCAGACAACGAAAATAGTTTTTATTGTAAGAGTACTGAAAGTAAGTTTCATTTTCAAAACAGAAGAAAAAATCTTCTCATTAGCCGTGTCAACTCCAAACGATTAAGAACATTGTTCACCTTTACCCGAATTCGTTACTTCCATCCAATGTTTCTTATCATTGATCGCTCTGAAATAAATGTCTCTTATCAATGATAAGAGACATTTATTGAGATCTGAGATAAATAGAAAATTAAGGTTTTGATGCAAATGTCGCTTTAAAAAGCAAAATTCCGAATTTCTCAGAGTTTAAATCTTCGCACTAATTTACAGACTTCCTAATTGTTAGAACGTACTTCGCAATCAAACAGATGAGTAAATAAACTTGGAAAATAGAAAGAGATCGAATTTTGATACTGATCAAAATGATTGCCTTCGAAGAAAATAAAAGCCTAAAAGAATAATTGTTAGGAACTGCATTTTTTTCTTTTTACCTTAAGCTAAACAGAATAGTATTAATTTTTAAAAATTAAGGCTATTAATTATGACTGATTGCAAGCCTTAGTTGTAATACATTTATTTGTATTTACTCCTTCCCTAATCTTTTTCTTCCAAATTCAATCCAAAAATTAGGTGACCAAAAATTTTGGGAAAGAAAGAAATTACAGAAAGAGACTGAGGCATTGAAAGATATAAATTAGAGAAAGAGACTGAGGCATTGAAAGATATAAATTAGAGAAAGAAACTGAGGCATTAAAAGATATATTGAAAGATAGGCTGAGCATTGAAAAATATGCAAAAACGATACGATAAAATTTTAATACATTCAGCATAAATTTTCGGTTTGCAATTAAATACATTTCAGGACGGGAAGGGAAGGGAAGGAAAGGGAAGGGAAGGAAAGGTAAGGGAAAATTCACTGACAGTCGCAGTAAATATTATTTTGGACTAACAAAGAGAATGGTAATATGAAGAAAATGGAAAAAAGACGATTTGGAGTTCATTTTTGAGGACATTTGCAAAATTAATTGAAATGCATTTATTATAATTCAAATATAATTATGCAATTCCATCCTATATTTCTTCATTTCTATCTTTGAGAAATAAATTTATTATAATTACTATCGAATATCTAAAAGTTCTTTAATTTATTTCCATTCAAATATCTGAGGAAGTTTTCTTTTTCTTTATCATCGCATTGATAATTAAAAGTTATGGAATGATATTATTTATGATTGCAATTTTAGCAGGCCTATCAATTAGAAAAATTAAGGCTTATCCTATTTTATAGTAAATTTTTTAAGTTCATCTTATATCATAATAATTCAAAAATGTGCTGAATAAATTTTTAAACAAAAAAATAATCTTTTATAAGAAGTAAAGCCTAAAGTAAAAAGGATAGAAATATTATTTGCCATTTCATAAATTCATTCATTCCCAATGATAGATGGTTTGTTTGTCTAGCAGAGAGGAAAAGAAAGAGAGAGAGAGAGAGGGAGAGAGAGAACTGATGACCGCTTATTGGTATTAGAGAGCAATATGTATGATTCTGTTGCAGCACTAAATGAAGGTAAGGATCCTCTCACTATCATAACCTTCACAGATTGACTGACCTTTTTTACCCATCATCATCACACTCTTCCCTTTTCATCAATTCCAAATCTCTTCTGCCACACTCAAATCAGCGAAATGTATTCTCTCTTTTATCTCTTCTTTTATTTTCTAGTTTTTCCCGCATTTTGTACATTTCAGAAAATAATTTCAGATTATTATTATAAAAGAATTTAATAAAGAAATTAACTATTCGTTAATGAATTTTCATTCAATTAGTTGTCGTTTTTCCTGCAAATGTAAAAGTAATTTCTTCAATTATAACTCTTCTTTATGTCATTTCTCCTACAAAAGTAATCGAATATTTCACATTCGATGAATTTTCTTCTTATTATACTAATAGTTAATCTGAAAATGTGTCAAGTTTGATTATTATAATATTTTCATTTACCCACAAATTATCTTATTTACATAAGTTTGAATTGCAGCAAGTCTACATAGTAATTAAAACAAAGTTGGAATATCTTCACAGCGTTATGATAATTAAGTGATCATTGTTCCTTTTCATCCTTTTTGAAAAAACTCACCTGAATGAATTGAATAATTTGAAATCCTGTAAGGAATCTTTCTGGTCACTAATTACTCTATTTATCATTATTGCATGGATGGAGTTTTTCGGAGGAAACGCAATTTTTTGGTATTATTGGTTTCATCGTCAATATGGCTCATGACTGCCTGTAAATGCAATTAGAGATCGGAATAAGAAGAAGGATGGGTGGAGTTTATTAGTTTGAGGCGAACGGATTCAATAGTAATTTAAAAATATCGGATAGATTTCACCTTGAGAAGTTCTTTCTACTTGTTCTTCTAACTCTTCTTATCACTTCACAACTATTTTGTTTCAATAATTTTTAAATTTGCTTTGAACTAATATTAAGTTTTTTTTAAATCTTAAGTATAATACTATCTCATTACCAATTTAGTGAAGCACATTTTTTATTTAAGCATTTATTGAATGAGTAAATCAGATGATCTGTTAATTTTCCGCCATATTCTTTGCATCTCTGATAAATTATCAACAGGAAAATATTTGCATATTATTTCCCATGAAACAAATTTCATGAGAGTTATAAGAGGGCGAGAGGATACAGATTACTGCTGTATATGTCCAGCTGGCAACAGATGCAGCTGCCATGATACATACATCCGCAGCATAAATCTCTGTAACTTTGCTTCAAGAGATATTGTACATCGTTGACTTTTTTTCTTGATTTTGTATTCG